ATAAAACGGAAAATAAATATATAATATGGAAAAAACGCTTTAATAACTCTTGTTTTATTGCGTTAATAAGAATTTGTGTCAATAAGGTGTTGAAAGTTCAAAAAGTTCAGAGATCAGGAGGTAATCCACTGGTATTTAGGGTGGTAGCCTTCCTATCAAAGACCAACTCATCATTGTTCAAAAGTTCAGAGATCAGGAGGTAATCCACTGGTATTTAGGGTGGTAGCCCTCCTATCAAAGACCAACTCATCATTGTTAGAGATATAATACAAAGAAAAACTAACATGGAAATGGATTTTATAAAGCAGGAAAATTGGCCAAGTTTAGGACCAGGAAATCATACGGGCTCTAAAGTCTTACATGATTGGTGTGGTAAAATTTCGAAAGTTTTGTTATTTCTTAATACCAAAATACAGATAAATGAATTAGAGTATTTAAGACATCTTGAGATAAAGTTAGAAAAAAATAAAGCACTTGAGAAAAAAATATTAAAAATGGAAAATGACTGTCTGCAGAAAGGGTTAGAAACACGTATTGTGGTAAAAGTAAAGACTCTCGAGAATCATTGCCAAAACAATCGTACTTAGACGCTATAACAAGTAAAAATTGGTCTACCTCTTCTCTAAAACGAAATCCCCAGTTGAACAATTAATTGTTATAAATGCAGCTATTAATGAGCAAAAAAATAGAGAAAAAAGAAGAAAAAATATTATTGTCTATGGCCTTCCTGCATCTAAAAAAGCTACATTGCAAGAACAACATGAGGAGGATAAAGAACAAATTAGTAAACTATTTCATGAAATAAATGTAGAAATTGTCCCAACATTCCAAAAAAGGCTAAATACGAAACAAACTGGAAAACCGGGACCAGTATTAGTGATTTTAAATAAAGATTCTGAGAGAAATCCAATTTTAGCAAAATCTAAATTATTAAGAGAAAAGCAAGATTACAAGGAGGTTTTTATTTCGCCTGATTTAACTGAAGCAGAGAGAATGGAAAACTATGAGCTTAGAAAGAAACGTGACAAAATGAATGATGAAAGAATAGCAAACTCACCCTTTAGATATGCGATCCGTGGAAATGGAATTGTCAAATTTAAAATACAACTTAACACAACAACATAAAAAATTAGTAAGTTTGTTATCATTTAATGTTTTATATACGAATGCAACAACTTTAGAAAACAAAGTTGAAGAATTTAAAATCTTATGCAGTTTTAAAAATCCTCAAATAATTGCTATTACAGAAACCTGGTTTAATGAGACATCGGAAATTTATTTGGAAGGATATTTTTTGTATAAACGAAATAGGGGGGATGGGCGTAGAGGAGGAGGGGTTGCGCTATATATAGATAGCAACCTAATATTTTATGAGGTAAACAAAGGTATATTAAATAGAAGTAAAATTGAACAAATATGGATCATTATAGTTGCAAATGATAAAAAATATTTAATTGGTTGCGTGTACAGACCAAGCGAACAAGTAGATATGCTTAAAATAAGTCAAATATTCACAGAAGCTTGTAAATTAGTAGAAAAAAATAATTTTGCAGATTTGTTAATTATTGGTGATTTTCCAAATGTAAAATGGTCGAATGGATACGTTAGTAATATTATAGTAGGTGAAGATTCTGTTGAAAATGAATTTATTAATATTATATATGAATGTTTTTTGTACCAACACAAATCAATCCCAACCTTTCAAAATGCACAATATGTTACAAAAAATACCTTTAATCTTATTTTTACAAAAAACAATGAATGAGTCTATCAACTTGAGTCTAACCCAGTTCTAGGAAATATAAATCATGGACATTTGGTTTTAACTTGTAAATTTAACCTTGATGCTATTGCAATGGAAAATTATCCAAAGTATAAATTTGATTACAGTAGATGTGACTATCCACAAATAAGCCTAAGTATTGATAAAATTGACTGGAATTATTTATTTGATGGGTTATCAGTTCAATTTATGTATGATCTGTTTATTGAAAAAATTAGTCAATCATGTAATGCTTTTATTCCAATAATTGACATAAATTCAAGAAAGAAAAGAAAAAATAATCCATGGTTTACTGATGAAGTAAGTCTTCTAGTACGTTCAAAACAAAATTTGCGTTATCAAAATTTATCATCGAACTGGAAAGATTTGAATAAAGTAATGAAATATAAAAATATTTGCAAAACTGTGAAAATAGAATCGCGTAAAGCAAGATGTTACTATGAAAATGATCTTGTTGAAAAATCAAAGGTAAATCCGAAACTGCTATATAAATATGTGAATAGTCAAAAAACGATTAAACAAGTAATTAAAGCATTAAGAGATCAAACTGGTTGCGTAACAAATGATCAAAATGAAATTGTTGAAGTTTTAAATAAACAATTTCAAGATGTGTTTACCATCGAAAATTCTACAGAAGAGCTTCCATAAATCGAGAATTTAGGGGATATTATTATTGATGCAGTTAATATAGATTATTTTGATGTTTTAAGTAGATTGAAACATGTTGATATCAATAAAACATATGGAGTTGATTCTATACATCCGTTGATTTTGAAAAATTATGCGGATTCTGTAGCATTGCCATTAACTTTAATTTTTATAGAATCTTTTGCTAAAACTACCAACTCAATGGAGAGCAGCAAATATTACACCACTATTCAAAAAGGGAGATAAATTAGAAGCTGCAAATTATAGACCAGTGTCTAGAGACTGCATACAATCATATTTAATGAAATGTAAATTAATATCGAAGTCACAACATGGTTTTGTTAAAGGGAAGTCTTGTACAACAAACTTATTAGAGGCGTTGGATTATATTTCATTTAATTTATCGATTGGTATTTCGGTAGATGAAGCACTTTTAGATTTAGTTAAAGCTTTTGATTCTGTTGCTCACAAAAGACTATTGATTAAACTATCTTCATATGGAATTAGTGGTTTATTATTAAAATGGATTGAAACTTTTTTAAAAAACAGAATCCAAAGAGTTATCCAAGGTGATGCTGTTTCTTCATGGCGCAAAGTCGCAGTGGTGTTCCGCAAGGATCCGTAATAGGGCCCTTATTATTTGTTATTTTTATTAAAGATATATCAAATATATTTAAAAATAAGTCAGTATTGTATGCAGATGATACAAAAAATCTTTCAAAAGTGAATGAAATAAATGTGGAAAATAGCTTGCAAAAAGATCTGGATAGTACAGAGGAATGATCTAAAAAGTGGCTCTTGGGTTTTAATTCTAGTAAATGTGTTATAATGCATTATGGTACAAATAATCCACAATTGAAATATACTTTAAATGGTGTTGAACTGAAAGATTCTGAATGCGAGAGAGATTTAGATGTATATTTTTCAACAAACTTGAAATGGAAAAAACAAATTATATCAAGTACTTCTAAAGCAAATTCAATGATGGGTATGTTAAAGATGACATTTTCACGAATTGATGCAAAATTAGTTAAAACATTGTATAAGGTATTTATTAGACCTCTTATTGAGTTTGCAGTACCTGTTTGATCACCTTATTTTAAAGGAGACATATCACTTTTGGAAAAAGTTCAATACAGGATGACTAGATTAGTTCCATCATTAAGGAAAATTAATTATGAAAAGAGATTGGAAATATTAGATATATCTACATTAAAAACAAGGAGGGAACGTGGGGATTTAATACAAGTGTTTAAATTACTTAACAGATTTGAGGAAATTGATTTAATTAATGAACCGAAGCTTAAAATTGATTCAATTACTCGAGGTCACAATCTTAAATATGAAAGAGAAATTGTGAACTATTTACCTCGGCATCATTTTTTATTAAATCGTACGACCAATTTATGGAACGCTTTACCCGAAACTGTTGTTACTTCAAAAACTGTCAATTAATTTAAGAATAGATTAGATGAGTATAACGCCAAATCAAAGAAGTTTTAATTAAACATTTTTAATATATATTTGGATTAATGCTGTCAAAGTGTGATAAACCACACTCGCTGGATTTGTCCAGTTACAGTTTAACTACTAACTAACTAACTAACTAATATATATATATATATATATATATATATATATATATATATATATATATATATATATATATATATATATATATATATATATATATATATATATACACTAAACAAATCATCTAACTTTAACTCAAGTAATTTGTATTAAGTAAATGGCTAAAAACCATTAACAAATTCCTATGAAAATGGTTAAAATGTAAAAAAACATTTCATATGCAGAAGCAATTTAAAAAACTACTTGTTTACATTAACCAAAACAAGCTTAAAAATCTCTTTCTAGTCAGGAATTGGAAATTTTATGTAGCTTTACTACAGACCAATAATGATAAATGCTAATTTAAAACTCTTTTAATTACTATGAGGCGATAGTTGTTTTAAGTTGTTTTAGTTGTTTTATTTTAGCTATAGCAAATTTTTTAAATTATGTAAATAAATATTTTAAGATTTTAAAAGTAGGTTTTTTAACGCTTTAAGTTTACAAATAATCAAAATAGAAAATTTATTATTAATAAAATTATTTTTGCCATTACCAATTCAGATCACTTCATGTTACCTTACATGAATGAAGAATGTATAAGTGTACACAGTCACATATTAAATGCACTAATTAAAAATTAAACATCAGTCACATTTGTTGCTGGTTTGTTATATGACTCAAAAAACATTATTGACTTATTTTAATAAACAATAACTTGCAACTAACTAAAAAAAAATCCTAATCAATTATTTAGTTCTATTAGAACTGATAAGTTATAATTAAGATGCTCTGTTAGTATACAATTTAGAGTACACTATTCATACAAGACTAAAAGAACTTAGTTTTGCATTGATTAGGGTTAAATTCTTGTGTTGATTTGAATGAAGGATCAATTCAGAATGTTGTTATTAAATTCAAAATAATTTTAGTATGATAAAAATCATTTATGTCAAACAAAAGATTATGTTTAATACATTTAATGCATACAACTTACATCGCATGAGTGGTTAATATAACGTGCTGGACCACCTGCCATTGTAGCATCAACAACTGTATCATTATCTATCCGGAACATGTAAATTCCTCGATTCTATATGGAAAAAATTAAAATATTAAAAGAAATTTAAATGCATATAGGACTTATAATTAAGCAATAACTTTACCTGTCTTTCGTAGTGTTTTTCAAGCCGATTAGCAACTTCATTTCGTATTAGAGACCCAATATATTCAATAATAAAGGTATTCTAAGGTATAAGTTATATATTAAATTCCTGAGTAAAAAAATAAATAAAAGTAACATTTAAGAATGTATGTTAACCTCTTCTATATCTTTTTTGGTAAACAAGCCTAATCCTTGGATTCTTGACCTTCCTAAAACAACACTATTTCTCCACTCTTGCCGCATTCGTCGATATTGTCCAGTTTTTGTGTTCATAATATGTACATTTCGCTGAGAATATACAAGCCAACTATCATCAGTTATTATGGCGTCCGAAGTATGTGTGTGTTCAGCTGCTGTTCGCATAGCAAGTGGTCTAAAAGAAAATTACTTTACCATTAGAGACTATAGTGTAAACTAATTAAAAAAAAAAAAAAAATCCAGCTTTTTTAAAAAAAGAAAATGCACGATGAAAAAAAATATACTTGGTGTGATGCTTGCGACATTTTTCTGTACGAATGCATCCAGTAGGGTTTAATGCTAGCGGTAATTCTGCTATAAGAATAGGTGTTCGACCAAAACGAAAGTTGTAATTAGAAATAGTATCGATACCAGGAAGCTAGAAATTTAAAACAAGTGACCGAATTCGATAAATTATGAGTTAACAAGAAAATTAATATAAAGATAAAAAATACAAAAAGAAAAAATTATGCTTACAGACTCAATCATTCTTTGTATAGTTGGTTCTGAAAGTCCAAAAAAATCTTCCCCACAAATAAATTCTGGAAAAACTTTCAAACAATTTTCTTTTTCTCTTAACTTTTGAATGTTTGCTATAATTTCATTTATAGCACCTGAAAATGAACAAAAAAAACATCAAAACTGCAGAAATATAATGTTAAAAATAAAATTAACTATGAAACATTAAACTTTTTAAGTCGCTAATGAAACAGAGAACATGGCTAACGAAACAGAGAATATTGCAAAAAAAAAAAAAAAAAAAAAATTTTAATTGTAGCAAAGATAAAATTGTGTATTTAGTGGCAAAATAAAACAAACAAATAAACTAAAAGAAAAAATCATTTAAAAAAAAAGTTAATTAAAGAAAACAAAGAAAAAAATAAAACAAATTAATTAATGGAATAACCATTGATTATCTTTGAATTAAGAAAATGAGTGAAAAGAAAAATAAAGAATAGATTTTATATTATGGCAGATTATTGTGCAAATATTCATTTTTTTTTTGTACAGTAAATATAGAGTATAGTTGAAGAAGCATGAAAGAAAACTTTTTTAAAAACCATCAGTTTTAAAAGAACCCCATTGAAAACTAATGTTTTTTAGAAGTTTTTTTCACCTTCAGAGTATTTAGAAGAGAAACTGAGGTCACAGGATAAAAAGTGTTAATAACTTTTTAATATTTTTAATAAGTATAATTGGATCAGGTAAAGCATAGGAGGCATAAAAAGTGGGTCAAGATTTATCTCCAATTCTAACATCAACAAGATGTGCTAAATTAACAATATCTAACATTAACAAAATTAAAGGAAAACTGTTAGAACATATTTCCAATGTGTTGTGATGTATGGTAGTAAAAAATAGGCTATAATGATTGATAATATACATTTGAAAAGAAAAAAGACAATTATGACATTAAATTAGGACTAGAAGCCAAACTGGGAGTTTGGAACTGAGAGACGGATGTACTAACTTGTATATTTTGGATCACCCTAGTATGTCTTTATATATGATATATTAAATACTATTTACCTTTAGCAGTGGAACTGGTGTAAAGACTACCTTCTGAACCATTTGAATGAGCTTTAACTTTAAATCTTGGAGATTTCATACATTCGCTAATCGAACAAGTATAATAACGTCGTTTTTGGATATCATGATTGTCCCAGAAAATTGAAGTTGTTTCAAATCCAACCTAGAATTATAATGTAAATACACATTGGAGTTGAGATTTTATAGATTGCAAGAAATATATTAAAGCAGTAAAACTTTGCATGCACATAAATTAATAAATTTATAATACAATAAAGTCTTAAATTTAAAATATCTTTGCTTCCAATAACCTTAGTTTGATAATAATGCATTAGGGGTAACTTCAAAAATTAAAAAAAAACTATTTAGCTTATAATTTTTAAAGAATGAAGTATAAATCAAAATATTATTTTTATATAAACAGATTACTATTGACAATAATAAAGATATTCAACAGTAAAGATAATGTTGAAAATTTTACAGGACAAAAGATGGAACCTGGAAATAAAGCAGAGTATTGTATATTAAGTACAACTTTAGTACTGAATAGAAAAAAATGATTTAAAAATTTAAAACTTTCCCGGATACAATATGAAACAATGTTATTGAGAAAACAAGTATATTTGAGTTTATTGAAAGCTTTTTATATTTTAAAAGCAATAGTCATTGTCTCACTGTTTCCAATGCCCAATAGAATATTTTTGTTATGATACTTTATCAATTATAAAATTTTATCAATTTAGTGTCAAATTCATATTTATGAACACAAAAAAACTTTGAAAAAAAATAATGCTTAACTTAAAATCGAAACAGTCTTCTAGTATAGACTGTTTTGATTTTAAGTTTAGCATTATATCATCTACCATTATCCCAATTTTCATCAAGCTTTATAGTCAACAAACTCTGTACTATCTAATTGTTTAGAAAAGTACATTAGTTTGCCATCAATATAATTCAGTACTTAACATTTTCTGTCAGAGCAGATAGAGAAAATGCACCGACCTTTTGAGAACTATAATGAAATATTTACTTGCTAAGTTAATTTTAAAAATTAAAAAATTCTTGTTATTTGCTCAAAATTAGGAAACTACACAATGAGTGTAGTTTCCTTAATTTTTTAAGAATGTGTCAATGAAACCTCAAGAAATCCAAGGCAATTGAAAACAAATATCTTTTCAGATTTGTTTTATATGGCTCATCAGGGTTTAATGCATTTGATGATGATTGGAGAAGACCATAGCTTCCTTACTCTTCAAAGGGAGAATCAACAAAAACTATGTATAAAAATATGTTAGGTATGGACAAAGATTGGATTGGCAATGAAGTAAAGAAAAGGAAACAGAAGATGAGAGTGAAAAAGAGATTTAAATGAGAAAAGAAGGTATGTTAGAACAGAATTGAGACATCATCAATTTATCAAGTACGTTGGATAAAAGCCTGTACAGATATCCAGCACAGCAGATACTAATTGAAGAATATTGTCATCATCATCATCATGGCAAAGTTTAGCCATTAGCCAAAACAATAATAGAGATAATGGGTGGATTCTTTAAGACAGGATTGCAGTGCTTTGCTTTGACACATCTGATAATAAAAGTGGGTCTTAAGAAAAACTATTGAACAGCAGAAGATGCCACCCAAAGAAATTTATGATTCACTTATACCCTCAATTTCTGCTACCTGATGCAATTGCACAACAACTATCGAGTGCTGCTTGAGTTTTTTGTTATCTTTCTTGGAGAGATACCACATAGCCACCAAAGAATTGTCTTTCAAAAACTCAGGGCTGAGCATGAAGCAAAATGGATGGCAGGGCCATATATGGAATATGAGGATTTTTTTTCCTCATTTTTTAAACATCATCTACTAAGACACTTAATCTCAAATAGCGGGCATTCATGAAGTATGTACACAGTAAAACCACTGATTTGAGATCCACCTCCCTCATGTACCTAACTGTATTCAACATATCTCTGTTATAAAACATAATATTGGTTTTTTAAACTTGTAAAATTCAATGCTTTTTAAACATGTAAAATTTTAAACTTGTAAAACTCAATGCTGCCTTTCACACCCTGCCTTCTTGCTTGTATGCATTTGTACCTTTTTGAAAAACTCCCCCACCCCCTGCCCCATACACTCATATGTATTTTATGGAAGACCCCAAAGCTGGCTGACTTTTGTATTTTTATTGTAATACATAACACTCACGTCTAATTCCTTGCCCATTCTACCATCAGTATTCCCTGAAATCACCATTCTTAAGGCCCTGCAGGAGAAGGGCAATACAATCACCAGGAAAGTAGGGCTGAATACACTGGCAAGCTATCTATGTTATCTGTCAACATTATAACAAAACTTTTTGATAAAGAGATGTAACTTCAAAAAGATTCCCTCATTGCAAACATGATAGCAGATTCCTTCATGGCAAACATGATAGCAGATTCCTTCATGGCAAACATGATAGCAGAAAGAACTGAAAGACTTTCTCCACAACTAAAGGCTCTTCCTGATAGCCTAAAAGACATGACTACAGCCTCCTCTGCAACTAAAAATACCAAGAGGTTCTTCCAGCTGCTTTATCAAAATGAGCCTTTTTAATGAGAACCCTCTAAATTAGATAGATATTCCTTCTTATCAAGCTGGTCTAAAATGAGTTGAGGGGCTGGTTATGAGTAATGATACAGCAGAGTGTGGGGTGGCTTTGGTCCAAGAGTTCACAAGGAGCAGGAGGACAAAAGCAGAAGTCTAGCTTCAGCTCCTTCTTGAAATACTTAAAGGCCACCACAAGGATATCCTTTATCAGACAAACTCATTAAGAAAACAAATATAAAGATGCACTTCAAATTTTTTTTTAACTAAAAGAAAAAAAATTAAGTTGTTAATTCTTTTTAGTTTATTTTTCATTAAACATAAATTTTTTGCAACAGATTCTTGACATTACCTAAAAAATCTAAACAGTTTTTTCTTTTACAAAAAGTTCTCTATCAAAAAAAACCCAAAGATTTATAAAACATAAACTTTACAACTTTCCACAAGTATAACTAATTTTTTATATATTTTTAAAAAGATAGAAAAGTATTTAAAAAGAAATCAATTAATAAAAAGCTCTTTTAGGCAAAAAATTTTAAAATACTAGTCAAAAAAATTAAACACCATAATTTAAATGCATAATAGTTAATTTTGTATGCTTAAAATAAAATTCTTACCGGATAAACAAAGTCTTTAGATGAAAAGTTATCTAGTAACTGCATTGGAACATGTCCTAATTCATGAAATATTAAATTACCAACACGAAATGTATATTCTTTGCGTTCAAAACTATTGTTTAAACTCAACATCCTAAATAGACAAAATAAAAATACAATAATAATTTATATATTAAAAATTTATGATTGCATAATTTAGAAGCTGACAAAATGATAAAACTTTTATAAATAAAATGGCTATTAACAGAAGAAATTAATTAATATATATATCAATATTATTGTATTATAATATTTAGTATTTAGCATGTCATCTTTTTTGGTATATTATTAACTTAACATGACATAATTTATCTAAAAAATTGATAACAAGCAGTAATTCTAGAAAGATAAATTTCCAATAAAATTAGAAAAAACCATTTAATTTTTTTAGTATTTTTTTGCAGATTTGTTTTACAATTACAAATAAACTAGATAAAATGATGACATATATGTATAATATATAGTTACGACTGAAACAATTTCTTGCTGATAGGTGTTAGATTCAAACTCTGTAACAGTAAAAACTTTATCTATTATTTACACTATTATACACATTGCTCTAAAGAGCTAGTGTCTCTTGTACCATCTACTAAAATTCATTCTTGATTTACTCATCATTCAATTAAGTCTTGTCCTTTTACTGAGACTGTTCCTAAGTGCTCCAAAAATTTTTATTCGCCTTTTTTTTTCCTTCGAATATCAGCCCTGGAGTTTGCTTCCTTCATCTTGTTTTCCTGATTCATATAATTTGCAATCTTTTAAGTCATCTGTTAATCGTTATCTTGCTCTATAAATTTCATCTTTTCTCTTCCAATAACTTCCGACTCTAATAGTGCTTGCAGCCTTGTTGGAAGTAAAGATGTTTAAAAAAAAAATTCCATTACAAGGTTTATCAGAGTTTGCTGTTCCTTCTTTGATTTCCAGTGTAACAAATAGTAAAGCATCACCAGTACACTATACTGGTTGAATCGTGAAGCACCATCAAAATATGATACTAGTTAAATGGTAAATCATCACCAGAACATGACACTGGTTTGAATAATAAATCATCACCAGAACATGATACTGGTTTGAATAGTAAAGCATCATCAGAACTTGACACTGGTTGGATGCTTTCTTGTTGGTAGGTTTAAGCATTAATAAAAAATCAATATTTACTGAAATTAAGTGACATCATTTTATCTGTAAATCAGTAATTTATTTCTATAATAATTTACCTGTAAAGTAATGGTAACTGCTTAACTTAGTTAATGTTAAAAAAATTTACCTTGCTATTTGTTCTGTTATGTTTCTTTCGATATAAACTTTTCTCTGTACAGCATATGAATCAAGTTCTTCTTTACGAATACCAAGAGATTTATGCTCAGAACAAAGTATAGTCTTAAGAAAAACAATTTAAAGAAACAAGTTATTAACAGAAATAAAAAAAAGATCAACAAAAAACTCTTGCTAAATATACTCATTGATTTATTTATTATATTTATACAAATTAGTTTTATAAGAAATTAAAAAACTTATTTATAATAATATAATATGTAAACTTTAAAGGGATTGTTAAACAAAATTTGTCAATATTTTAAATTTAAACAGAATCAATAATAACTATAAAATACCATATTTAATAACAAAGTAACATTCTTATAGATATTAAGTGAGAACAATAGTACCTTTAAAAGCATTGTCAAATGAAGTTTGAAATAAAAAATAAAAAATATTTACTTTATCTTTATAAAGAGCAGCATGTGACTGAAGTGCACAATGAAAATGAAAAGATTTCTCACAGTGCAACCTCTGCTGGGCACCAAAGGTATATGAGCAATTTAACGTAGCACCTATTTTTGAACAATAACTGCATCTCATTTGTTTTGACCTAGCTAGTGCTTTGTCAACATTATGCAAACCACCATTCAATGACTCATAAACTTCACTTGACCATAAAGCACAATTAAGATGTACCCATGAATCAACATTGCAATTAAGCAACCTTGAAGATTGGTTTGCTTCACCGTCACCAACAACAAGACAAAAACAACATTGCCGTCTATCTCGTATGCTTTCACTTGGTTTTAAAGCAACAGAATATTTTTTCATAAGCTGATTGATATCTTCTTTCACAGATTTAATTTTTGTTTTCTTTTCATTATCACTTGAAACACGCCAACGCTTCCAACGACAATTGCTTTTTGAAACAAGTTTATTACTCATGCCACTTGCACAAACATCACCACGTATTTCATCTGAAGGTAATGGCAAAAATACATGCAACTCATCAGTTGTAACCATTGAAGAAACTTTAACAGCATCAATTAATTCTTGATCATCATTCTCAAAAGTATAGTCGACTTTTCTTTGGTATGCTTCTACACACTCATTACTGCAAAATGCAAGTTGTTCAGAAGACATAAGTTCAAATTTATCATACATGCATTCTGTTACATTTTCCATGTTTTTATCTACATAAAAAACAACATTATGCAATAAACCATAACATAAATTACATCGAGATATTGTATCTTCAATTTCAGAATCAACATCTTCATCTTTAAAGTTCATAATGTTTTGAGTACTTGATATTGTCCGAACGCTTTCTGACTCTTCTTTCACAATTGAACCTAAGAGTTTGTCTTTTTGTATATCAGAATGCATTAATGAACTCTCGTTATTTGGTTCAGGACTAGGGAACAACGAAACATCATTTAAAATGTCATTTACAACTACACTGCATTGTGATATAGGTTTTAAGAAAGAACTAGTAGCAATAGGTGAGGTTGTATACGGTTTTTCATTATAAACATCTATTACATTTTCTATCAGAGCATAGCCAAATTTTCCTGTAATTTTAAATGTGTTAGAACTATTAAAACCATAAGGTTGAACAAGAGGACAAACTAAATGCACATCTGGTTCACAAAGAGGTATTTTAGGCGTAACAACCATAGGTGGTGTTTTTGGAGTAAATGAAGAAAGCGGACTGACTATAGTAGGAGTTTTAGAACCTGATGGCATGTCAGGAATTTCTAATGGAACTATAATTTTTTTGTTATGCTTTTTAATTACAAGCTGTTGTGCTTTTGCTTCTTGCAACGCTTTTTGTTTTAACAATCGTTGCTGATATTTTTCAGCCTTTCTTTGTTCTCGTATAACTTTTATTTTTTCTTTTTCCTCTTTTTTTTTAATTCTTTCTAATTCTCGCAGTCTTTTTTTTTCTTCAAGAATTTTATCCTTTTTCTTGTTATGCAATTTTATTAGATTCTTTAGCTGTGTATTCATTCCTTCATATTTTTCTGTTTCACCATCTGTCATATGGTACATGTTGTCACAAGCTAAGTCGTTTGGAGAATTTGTTCCAGGATCAGAATCATTTTGTTTAATGACTTGACTTACAGATAGATGTTCCGATGTAATAATAGCTTTTTTTGCAGGTTCAAAAAGTGGTTGTGAATTAGTAGAAACAAGTGATTGTTTTTTGGGTGTTCCTAACAAATTGCTAACACTAAAAGCAGAATTATTTGACGGAGAACTTTCTCCAGTTTTTGTATTAAGAAAAGGATTGCGAATACGAGATGGTTCAGAACTTAGTTGATTAATGCCAGGACGAGAACCAAAAGATGGAGTTTCACCCATAGGAAGAATAGCATTAGAAACTAATGACTCCTGTGAAGGAGATTTCTCACACTTTTCCGTGGCTTGCTTAAATAACTTAGATGGATGAGTTGGAAAAAAACTTGGTTTTGGTGGTATAGCAGTATTTCTTGGATTAAGAAGTTGTTCAGCTTTTTGATGCATACTACCTGGAGATATTTCACCAGATAATACTGTTGTAACCGGTTTTGAAATATCATTTTGCTGTGTTCTTTGAAAATCTTGTCCGGGTTGCGTATCGCATCTCGAGTAACCTGATAATGGTGAGGGACCAGGAGGAATTTCCCCCCGAAATTGTTTTTGATGTCTAATAAAACTCTCATGTATTTTTTCATATTGAGGAGATATGATATTAGGATTTATTGTTTTTTCCTCTGTTTTTGGTTTGCAAGTATTTTGTTGGTTTGGTTTAGAGTCTGAACTTACAGAATTAGTTGGTAAAATCGAATCTGGTTTAGAAGTGATCTGGTTAGGCTCTGAATGTGAAGATTCTTCTTTTGAAACAACTAAATTTTGTCCTGTTCGTATTTTCATTTCTTCAGATAACTCTGGCACCGGAAACTTTGTAGAAGGCTGAGATGTTTGAACTGAGTCTGCAGCTAATAATGCTGCTGATTTTTTTTTGTTTAGAGAACGTCTAGGTTTTGGCTTCTTCTTCTGTTCTTCCTAAAAAAGCAAAAAATTAATATAAGTAACCAAAATGGATTTATAATATAAACTGCATCAGCTTTAAATATTAAATTTTAATTAAGTGGTTTTTTTTAACTTTGCGTTTCAAATATATCTTTATTATAAATTATTTATTACACAAATAACATTCCTCAAACTTTTTCTTAAAAACAAAAAGTTCATAAATAAACATTTTATAAATAACAAACAAATATTCAAGATATTGCTAATAAAATCATAGTATTGAAGAGTACTATAGTTTTATAAAAAGCATTATTATTCATTAATAAAACAATAAAAATTTTTAAAAATATGTTTATTTAATAGTTTTTAAGTTCATAATTAACACCTCTTTTCTTGAAGACTGTTGCAAAATTTGTGCCATTTGGTGTTGTACTTGTTGCATGCAAGCCTGCATACGCTGCTGAAATAAAACTTGCTGTTCAGGTGAAAGTGCCACAATCCACTGACTATAAGATTGTTGAGTAAGCATCTGTTGTTGGTACATTGCATTAAGCTGGTGCTCAGTAAATTGAATTCCGTTTGCAGCCATTCGATAAAGTTGGTTCTAAAAAATTAGTGAAAAAAAATTTTTCTTTAAAAAAATATTTTAAAAAAAGTGTTTTTAATAAACATTAAAATAAAAATAAAAAATACTTGTTGTTGGACAAGTTGCTGTTGCAGTAGCATTAACTGTTGATGAAATTGTTGTTGCAACAAAAACTGTTGTTGCTGGCCAATTTGTTGCTGATTTAATTGCTGAAACTGAAGTTGTAACTGGAACTGATATTGCTGGAATTGCATAATTAAAAGTTGATGTTGATAAAAAAAAATTTGATGGTAACGCTGTGAGTTTGGGTGAAGCGACACTATATTAGATTTTTGAGGTGAACTATTTATTTTAAAAGGAGATGAAGATTGCGGAACAGAACCAGGTATTGGCGAAGATTGAATCAAGCTTGGATTTGAAGTAATGGAACTTGATAGGGGTGGTAAAGAACTTGATTGAGTAAATGGTGCCATACCAGATTCAGGAAATAGAGGATTAGTAGATTGTGGAATGTATGGACCATTCGGATTAGAATAATGTGGATTAACTATACCTGATGACGGAAATTGCATTGAGCCAGAAATACTACCTTGCTGAAACATAGAATTTCCAGATATTTCCATAGAATTTGGATGACAAGTTGAATATATATTTGAACTTGTTGTTGTTGAAAACGAAACAGTGGCTTTGTCTGAATTTATTGAATTGTTAGCTGATGAGGTAATAGTAGGTGAAAAGTAGCTTGAATCAGGAGAGTTACTAAACGAAGGATTTGAGGCAGAAGACACAGATGATACTGATTGGGGTAAAGAACTTTTTGAATGAAAATGTGAAAAACTTGTCTTTAAAGTTTCTGAAGTGCTGACACTTTCAGCATTATAGTTTTGACTAGGTGAAGAAAACCCTGAGTATTTTGTCTGACTCTGATGCAAAACACCAGCTTTTTGATAGTTGTTTTTATTTGATCCAGAAAAACTACCCCAATCAGGTTGGCTTTCATTTTTTAAAGCTGAATGCTGGCGACTTTCGAAATGCTTATCATTACCTTCATTAGGATAACCCATAACACCCAGCTGGTACACAGATGGATGAGGATACGAATTTTGACTTGAATATAAATTGTTACTTAAGTATGAAGTAGGCTGGTTATTTGTAAATAAAGGTATATGATTATTTTGAAGCCTAGATAAAGAGCCTCCATTGGTTAAACCTGGCTGCTCTATAGTATATTTATCAGTACTTGGAAATGATGAGGACTGCACTGTACCTTTTTCATTATGATACAAATGGTGCTTGAACTCTTCACTGTTATGGTTTTCAGCAATCTGCTGATCTCGAATATAAGTTTCATTTACTCTAAGTGAAGTACCTCTACCTAAAATTTCTTGTTCATTTTGGTGGACAATATCAGTTTTTTTGTTATTACCAAACTCATTTTCGTCTTTTTTATGATCTGAACATAGTTTCTTATTTGATACTCTAAGAATCTCTTCTTCACTATCAGAGCATACATGACTTGAGCAATCCGAAATATATTCATCCTGATTTCTTCCAAGGAAAGCTTCCTCATCATCAGATAACATAACAGAAACTTTTTTTAAAAGCCTTTCATTAATTTTTTTAAGTTCATTTTCAGCTCTATTTGACCTTTTCATAAATGGTTTATTTTGATTGCGATTAAAAATATCATCCTCATCATCACTTCCATAATGTTCTCTGTTTGAAGTAATGGAACCTTCATTATCAACAAGCCCATCAGTAGCTTTAGAGCTAGATATCTCACTTTCATTGCTGTCGTTCTTGTGTGAAATGTTACAGTTTTTTTGCTCTGAATCTTTTTCTAACATATAAACAAAGATAATAATTATAGATATTAATAAAATGCAATCAATAATATGTTAATCCAATACCAAATAATTCTTAAAACTCAAAGCTGAACAATTATGTCAACAATAAAAAAATATTTCAGTTGATTACATTTGCCAAGTTTTTAAAAATTTTTTTAATACTTTAAACTGTAATGGAAGTCTTTTGAGCAATACAAGCTGCAGCAAAAGCTTTCTTTAACATCACAAGCTGTATTGGAAGCTTCCATTAACAACACAAACTGTGATGAAAACCTTCAACATTACAAGCTGTGTTAGAAGTATTTTACAACATTTTAAGCTGTATTGGAAGATTTTTTAAACAAAACAATGAGAATGCTTAAAATTAGGTGTACTGGATAAATTTTTTTATTAAGCAAAATATATCAGATATGAAATCATAATTTTACCCAAGTAAGATTATATCAAAATACACTTAAACAATGATTTTTTCTTAACAAATATAGTCAGCTAATGTGCAATATTCAATTTAGAATTTATTTTAGGGGACGACTTTTATGCATATATTTTAGGATTTACTTTACATAGTCTTACTGCATATACTTGTCACATACATTTAGATAAATAAAATACAATAAAATTTAATCCTATAATAAAAAATTTGTGCATACTATTTTTTATTTTTCTTAACTTTACATGCCACACACTCTCTACCAGTAAAAAAACAAAAACAATTTGAATAATAACTTCTGTGAATTAAGTTTAGCTGTTGCTAAACTCAATGCTATTCACACAACTATATATTTATGCTTTTTTATCCTCTTCTATATAAGTTAATACAACTCTTCACCATTTGTGCTAACATGCTGATATTTAAAACAACCATGAAGGTCTTTTAACAAGATAATATATAGATGTCATTACTATGTTCAATAGGGTGTTTTCTTAACACCATGTTTACAAAGAAGTACAAGTTTATTTTTAGGCAAGGAAAAGAAAACATTACTATGTTTTTACAAGAATCATCACCCAATAAATAAAATAATCTTAATTAGCCAAATTCATTTCAGAGGTCTGGTCACAAAATTAATGCAATGTATGGAAAAAAGTAAAGATTGTAACTTGTTTTTTTCTTTCTTTTTCTTTCAGCAAAACACTATAGCCACTGCTATATTCATAATTCATAATGACTGAGAATGTAGAAAGTTTTAATAAAGAGCAATGTGTAAAATGGTTACATGAGATAGGACAGTCTTCTTATTTAAAAGAATTGCTAAATAAAATACAAATGTATTTACATTGCTCAGAGCTAACAAATAAACTGAAAACAAAAGCAAGGAAATATTATTGTTTTCAATGCAACCTCGACCCACATGAAATACCTAAAATTACAGCTAAATGGTCATCAAACGAGATGTTATATCCTAAAGTCAGTAAAGCTATATTTTACAGATATTGTGACTATAAAAAGCAAGGTAAACCAGTGAAAACATTTCATACATTAAAGGAATGATTAAAAAATCATATGGTGATGCTTTGAGACCAGCTGTTTTACTTTTTGATGGATGTTTTTTTAGAAAAACACATTGTTGTTGTTCTGTTGGAGAAAGTGGATTGTGTTGCCACAAAAAGATTTTGGCTCTATCTTGCACAAAACAGTTACGAAAGTGGCATCGACGATTAAAAAAAGGATCTATTCCAATGGATCTTAATAAAAGACATACACTTAATAAAATTCAACTGAATTCTGCAAAAATGAAAAAAAAAAGATGACAAAACAGTTATACCACCTGCAGATCCAGATCAAAACTATTTTAAAAGAGATGTGCCATTAATTGTTCAAAAGTTGAAAGAACAGTTGAAAAAAGAAAAACCTGTAGAGGAACATGTTTATTCTGTATTTATGAAATCAAAATGTGGACGTCACCTGTTGCTCAACACTTACACAATAAATACACCCAAAAAACTGTGTTTGCCTTATCAGACCACATTTATTGCAAAACCCAGTTATTTGATCAAAGTATAATTTACATAGATAACACTAAAATTGAAAACATTGACTTTCATATTAATTAACAAATTCAAATGATAATTCAAATACTGCAGCAAAAAAAAAAACATTTTTGTAAATAATAAAAAAGGTCTTACTAATATCATTCAAAATATTAAAATTAATAATATACTTAGGGTTTATGACGGCTTTAAAGACACTGCACTTTATACTATCATTAGAGAGCAAATTCCAAAAGGCATCATAAATATTGACTTAAGTAATCATCTGACTCCAAAACCATTTGGTAATAATTACATAAACATAATACAAAACAAAATAGAGTGGTATGAATACAGAAAATATAAAATTATAGCTAGTCGGTTACCTTATTTAATTGGCATTCTAGGGAAACCTAGTTTTATATTATATTGGGAGGTTATTAAAATGGGACATTACACCAGACCTAGTTCATTTAGAAAATATTAAAAATTAAAAATTATTAAGAGGTTAACTTTGAACTTCTTATAAAAGCAAAAATTGAAAAATGTGATTACTTTAATAACCTAATTGACAATAAATATGGCTGGAGCCCAGATGTATAGGCCCATCAGGCATTTTATAAGAAGTGAAGAAAACATTAGAGAATTCAATTCTAAATTTGACGCACTTTGAAATTTGAACTCTGTTGTATCTATAAACATGTATGTCTGTCAGACCATGTCCTGTTTTAATAAAACTTTTTAGCATTTTTTAAAGCAAAAATTCAGATGTGAGTTTTAAATCTATCTCATTAAATATAGTAGCTAAAAATGTTACCCTAAGCCATTACCCATTGATGTAGCCCATGTCTACATATTGTAAAAACGGACAATAGTTCTGTTATTTTATAGGTAGTTCTACGGCATGGTGTATTAACTTCACTATCTGGATATGGTATAAATTGTGTGTAAGGTGTAACATTCTAAAATAATTTGAAATTGTTTTATCAATAAACCACATAGGTATTAAAACAGTTTTTGCTGTTCTCTTAATTTTTAACTTATATTTAAATTGTTTTTGAGAAGATTGCTCAACTTCATTTTTAAAATTGTTTATATTTTTGTGGTAATTAATGCTAGTAGATTTCAGCTTTTACAGTTCAATATTATTTAATTTTTTCCTTTGCTTCTTCAAGATCAATCTTAATTTCACATATTTGAGTCTTAGTGGATTTAAGCTTTTTTCAATCCTATTTTAGATAAAGCTTTTTTTTCATAAACTTTATTTTACTAAATAACAATGTCTGGCAAATCATTTGTATTTTCTTTCATTCTTACTCCAATGAGCTCCACATATGTGTCCTTTTTCCCAATTCATCCATTTTCATTCACTTGTTTTAAACAACTCCATCCAACTCAAATCATCCAATTCCATTCCATCATCCAATTCCATTCCATCATCTAATTCCATTCCATCATCCAATTCCATTCCATCATTCAATTCAATCACTTGTTTATGTAAATGTATATGAAGTTGTTTATAACTTCATGTAATTTCTTGTAAATGTATATGAAGTCGTTTATAACTTCATTGTAACTTCTTGTAAATGTATATGAAGTTATTTATAACTTCATATACATTTTTTAAACACTTTCTGATCTTGGTAAATGATAGTATTTAATAAGTAAACCTTTGGAATCTTTTGATTTAAAGTTATTGAAGCATAAAAGAGAACCACAATAATATTTAACCATTTTAGTAAAGTGAAAATAATGCAGATTACTTGTTGACGTTTAATAAAACTAATAAGCTACTATTTTTATTTTTCTCCCTACATCGCCAATACTAATGTGCGGACTGCAGTCTTTCACAGGAAGAAGTGCAATCGCACATCTTTATATGACCAGGCAAATTACATTTTGCTACGACGATTTGACAGCGGCCATTTTAAAAAACAATTTAAAAACGCGCTAAATGAAAATTAGTGAAATTAATTACATCAAAACATCATTACAAATGTTTTTATATTAGCAAAACCCTTTTAAATTGAGTAACAATTTACTGATGTTTTTTTTAAAAATATAATTGACTGTTGTATATATTTTTTTAATTTATAATATATATATATGTTGTTTAAGTGTGCATTTCTATAATAAATGTTATTTAAAAATAAAAAAATTGTTTTGTTTTTATAAATGATGACATTCTACGACAACGAAAGTCTCCTTAACAAATTTTAATATAAGAATAATTAAAGTTAATACATTTAAAAAGATAAACATAATCTCATTGAAAAAAGAAAGACAAATGTTTTAGAAAGCTGTTACAATTAAATAAGTTTGATCTTAAATGTTTTTATATTACCGAAATGCTTTTCAATGAAGTAACAAAACACTTCTAATTAATTTTTAAAATGAGTATTAATATATAATAATATAATAATAATAAACTGTTGTTTTTTTATTTACATAATTATGTATTTTTTATGAGAAATGTTCATCTTTTGAAACATTAAATAAAATAAAAAAAAGTACAAATGTTAAAACAAAGATTGAAATGGTTTTTTAATGCATAAATTAAATAGACTAAGCATTTTAGTTAAATGAGTTTTGTTTTAGTTGGGTTATATATATATATATATATATATATATATATATATATATATATATATATATATATATATATATATATATTTATATATATATATATATATTTGTGTTTTTGCTTTAATTAAGTTTTTTTTTTCTTTTCTCTTTTGTTAAGACTATTTTCTTTTTTAAAGTTTTTTTTTAGATAAGTTTAGGTAAGTTTTTGTAGCGCATTTTTAAATTTTGAAAACATGTCAAAAGCTATGGTCAAATCGTCAAAACATTATTTTTTGTGTGGTCATATAAAGACATGCGATTGCACATCTTCCTATGAAAGACTGGGACTGCATCAAATAAATTTGGCTAATATATCAATTTTTACATTTACACCTACCTGGGTCATAAAAAAAGCAAAATTAAACTGGAGAAGTTATCAATTGATATCATTTAAATATGGTTGAAGCAAATATACTACATGGAAGAGTACATCAATGGATGCAGTTTTTTGTGGGATAAGAAATCTACTTAAATGTTTAAAAATCGAAAGTTATTACAACGACTGTTTAAAACAAATTATTAAAATTTGGTTGCTGCACATAAATATTTACTAAAATTGTTACAAAAAATCAAGTAAAACATCTGATTCACAATAATTTATTTAAATCACATTAATATATTTTTAAAAATTCATTAAAGCTGTTTTGATGAACATTTTATCTGATGTTAATAGAACAACTTTTAGCTTTATGCCATAAAAAATTAATATTATATTGTGGAAAAAATCTGAGCTAGATCTTAAAATTTTAAAAACAAAAGAAAGTAAAACTATTTTAAAGCTGTGGTTTAAATGGTTCTGTTAAAAAAACAAATTTTTTAAAAAAAGCTTGGTTAAAAAACCAAGTTAGTAATCCAAGTAAGAAAGGCTTCATATCAAAAACTTTTTTTATTGTCATGCAGACTTCCATTTCAGTTTAGAAAGATTTTTTCATACAAATTTAAACTACACTATATTTAATTATAATGAATAAGCTTTGAACTTTGAAACTTACTTACCTTTACCAGGAAGAAATTCATCATTAGATGTACTATCTGCAGCAATGCGACTTATTTGAAATGAAGAAGACCTTTGTAAAGTTGTTGCAGTTCCGTAGCCACGGTTTTTTTCATCAATAATGACTGATTGAGATTTATTTGGTAATATATTTGATCTTGGAAAAGCTTGTTGATAATCATGAGGTCCTTTCTCAGCATACCCAGTATACATTCTTTCATCGTAATTAGGATAATCTGGTCTTGGTGAAAAATTGAAGTAAGATTGATGAGGTCGTGAATGGTAATACTTGTTGTAATGATGTTGTTGATATTGCTTAGTAAACTCTGCCATCATTGTGCTATTCACTTGACTTAATGGAGGACCAGCTGTATCCATCTCTAAACTCTTCCTATATCTTTCCATATATTCAACAACCATTTGGTGGTATGCAGGAGAGTCAGCTGGATTTGGCACAGGGAAATGTGGCAACCTTGGCATATAGTTTCCTCCCATTATTGAAGAACCTTGACCATGCATTGGGTCATAATGATGAGTTAAAGAATCCTGATTAGCTAAAGTATTTTTTATAGGAGTCATTGTTTGAGGCCCAAATGAAGGCTCTTTTTGACGCTGATGAAAAAGAAAACGAAGACGTTCTTGATGTTCATGTTCATTATCAACATCTGGGAGATCTTTGTCAGGTTGTTTCTGAATTCCATACATACCATCAGGGGCTGTAGATTGTTGAGCCAATTGTAACTGAATATATTGTTGCTGTGCAACCATATACTGTTGCTGCAGCATATATGCTTGTTGTTGATCAACATTGTGCATCTGGCTACCACTGTAGTCCAAATTTTTACGAGAATTAAAATACCTTTCAATATCTGCATTACGATCTGAATCATGATTAGAAACAGAACTATCAGGTGGAGAAACAATTGCTGGACTTTTCATTATTCTACTTGTAATGTTGACATTAGATAAAGGAGATTTATTTCTATTGTCATTTAATGCCCTATTTCGAGAGGAAATATTTGATTGTGTAGATATAGTTTGTGTATCATCTCTTTGCGACAGACAAAGTGTTTCTTTTTGCTCTGCTTTAGAAATAATTTCATCCTTTTGCAATGTTTGCTTCTGTTGTTCAAAAACTCTCTTCTGCTGTAGAGGTTGAAACTTTTTATCTGGTTCTTGCAGAGCATTCTCAATTGGCTGTTGATAATGCTCTTGCTTATGTGATGGTAATTGGATTTTAGAATCTGATTTTATTATAATTTTTGTAGGTTCTGTTGCACTTGATATATTAGCATGTGTTGGAGTGTTAGCCAATTGAGGTGATAAATCATTGTTAGATGAAATAGCACAATGAGGGGATAATCTTTGTAAAAGCGGAGATAACTTTTGAGGTTCTGGAACAGTAAATATTGAAGGCGGTGTAGATATATTAGATGCCACAGGAGATTCAGTAAATCCTGACCTAATGTTAGCCTGTAAAGAAGTAGTCAACCCAGTTGGACTTAAAGAGTTGCTTACAGAATATTTAGGAGAGCCTATAATTTCTCCGTCATCAAAACGATTACACATCTGCATAGTTGGCATAGAGACGTGTAAATTCTTATTTTGCTGTAAATTTTGAAATGAAGAAGTAATCATTGATGAATTTTTCATCTGAGAATTATGTTGGGAATCATGTAAAGAAGAATTTTGCAATTGTGGATTTTGTGTCATTGGACTCTCTCTTGATGCATGTCGACGAATACCCTACAGATAAGATTTGTACTAGTTACTTTATATGTTTTTAATATTAAATGATTTTTAAAAATATATAAAAATAAAATGTTTACCTTTCGCTCTTTTAACTTCACACGATTGTCTCTTGCACGAATCTGATTTTAAAAATTATTTTTATGTTAAGTACAAACATGAAAAAAGTATAAAACAATAACAACAAAATTAAAAAATAAAAATAAGATTTTGTATCTTAATTAAAACAGAACTTACTCTAAAAGGTTCTCTCTGCTCATTAGGTAATTTTCTCCATAACCGAGCAATAGCTCGTGCTCTATTAGGCCAATCTAGTTAAATAAAAAACAACAGTCATATATATAATTCTACTTTGTTATTTTGGATATTAAAAAAAACAAATAACTGACCTATGAAATCGTTCTTTAAATTTTTATGCATTAAATTTGTATATAAAACTGGAGAGATTGTTGCATTTTCACCAAGTTGTTCATCAATTTCCCATTTGCGAAGCTGTTTTTGTGTGTCAATTTTCGGATTCAAACCATTTCCATCTGACTTTTTCCCTTCAAAATCATTATCCATAGGATATATATTTTGTATTAGATTTGAAGAATGCGGAGAAATATTTGACATCAATAAAGATGGTGAATATTTTATTTGATTCTCTAGGCCAGGTTGTGGCATTCCTGATGATGATAAAGATGAAAGTATCATTCTAGAAGGAATGTCAGATTTAGACATTTTGTTGGTAATAAACTTATTTGAATTCATTTCTTGCTCAAGACCTGCAAACATTTGCTCAACCTCATGTCCTGCAACATGAGGCAGGTCAAGAACACTCATTAGTTCAAGATGAGAAGAATCTTCATTTTGATCTAACGATATAGGGTGATTTGGTGACAGATTAGAAGAAGGAACAGCAGCAATATCAACTGGACTACTGGGAGTTTTATTTTCTAATTCTTCTTCAACTTAAAAAAAAAATTAGAAATTATGAAAACAACAATAAAAACACTGGTAACAACCAAAAATATATATTTATACAAAAAAAAAACCTTTCACATCAGATGCAGGCTGTTCTAGTTCAGTTATCATAAGCTGAGGATTCATTTCAGGTGTAATTAAATCAAGAGTTTCAACAAGTTCTCTAAATATATTTATTTTTTAAATATAATATTTCAATATAAACAGAAACAAAAACAAATAAAAATATTTACAAATGACAACAAAATTTAAATTTAATAACAACAAAGAATGATTAACATTATGTTTTATTACAACAATTATTTGATTAACATCTGGCAAAATTTGGCAAAAGTTGTTTACATAATTTTTTAAATGTTGATGTTTAATTGATTGTTTAAATGTTGTTTAATGATATTTAATGATGTTTAAATGTTGATTACATAATGAATTGTATAGTGAGTCAGAAAGGTAAAAAAAATAAAAAAAAAAATAAACAATACAATCATCTGAAACAAACATGTAACATCAATATTTGGGTTTTTGTTAGAGAATTTGAATTTGTTGTTTAATAAATACTTTGTAACTAATATCTTTATCAAAATAACAACTTTTTATTGTGTTTTTTTTTTTTTCAGGAAAGCATCTTATTAAGTTCATTGCTTAATAAGGTGTTTTGCAATATCATTATAGCATAAATAATGTAATACTTTTATAAAATCCATATCTGCTGCAAAACAAAGCTTCGACCAACTTTTACTGTGTTATGTTACATAACAAATCAATATCTATTTTTTCAAATGTGAAAGTAAACAGCAAAATATATCTTCTGCATATTAATTTGCAATTTTTTTAAGTTATTTTAAATTGTATTCTAAGACTGTGTTAAAGTGTTATTATAATTAAAATAAGTAAAATACTGTTAAGTACTGAGTACTTAACAGTATTTTATTTACTTATAGATGTAATTATAATTTTATCAAGTTTATCTACTTAATGTCTTTTTAAAAAGTTAATAGCTTTAAAAATATACATGCATGTCAATTATACCATCACCAGAAATTTTAATTGTTTATGAATGCTGCTTATATTGACATGTTCTTCATTTTTTTACCCATATAAAATAGTTTCATGGGAAATTTTTATTCATGGTTTAAGTAAAACCTTAATTTATAAATGAAAGAAAGACAACTAGAATTTCTTTTTTAAGAGCTTTTCTGCTGTGCTCTGTGACTAGACAAATAAATCTTCTGTAACTAGACAAATAAATCTTCTTGGAAGGTTTTAATAACCAGAATAAAGAAAAATGTAAAAAAATGTGGTCGACAAAGTTGGTATTTATTTAACTGAAGTTTCTTGGGTTTTTAATAATTTTATTAAATTAATTATATTTTTACATAATGACCAAATTTACTTACTATGCAATTTCATTAACAATAATAACTATGCAATTAACAGTAATTATTATGTAATTACCAGTAATTAAATTATGAATTATGCTTGATTTAACGGTAATCGGTAGTGCAGTTCCTAATCAAATGGTTTTGATGTTAATTCATCATAACATTTTTAAACAACTGTTGGGCTTTGCCTTGAAACTTTTGGCCCTACCCTTCCACCTTTTCTTTAAGAATTCAAAACTTTCTTTCATGTTTATATTTTAAAAAATTTTATTACAGTTGATTTTGTTTACATGAGTGATTTTTGTTTACTTAAAAGCTATAGAACTTAAGTTTGTGTTTTATGTCACAGTTTAAATTGCCGTTTTTGACTAGCCATTTTAAAGCAATAATCAATGAGATGATTGCTCTTTTTTTGAAAAAAGATACAACTCTTGTCGAGCGTATCTTTTTTTAGCCTATCTTATAACCATAATCATAAAATTAAACTTCAAATAAAAATTAAGCAATAAAAATGCTTAAAAAAACTTACGGCTTTTTTTGTAAGGGTATGGTCATAGCATTGGGATCTGTAACACTTGGCCCTCTCATTGTATCAAATGCAATACGAGCAGCTTCTGCTAGCTTAGCAGCACGTTTCATTCTTCGTTCTTTTTTCTTTTCTTTTTTTAACTGTTTGCTATTAGTTGAAGTTTCAAGAGATTCTAATTCCATGTTTAAATGTTTTTCTAACAGGTTAACACCAAAAAACTCAAACTGTAAACAAAAAAAAATATTCTAACTGTAAACAAATAAAAATATTCATAATTTCAAGTCATTTCTTTCCAAAAACTAGAAAATGACTAACTTAAATAAAAATTTACTATCATTAAAAAAAGTATTACTATTAATTACCGGATCATTAACATCTTCTGGCTCAGGAGCAAACACATTTTCTTCATTTTCCTCATCATTCAAAAAATCATCAAGTTCTTGAGTTGTGTCTGGCTGCATTAAATCCATATCTAAATCCTCTTGCTTGACTGATAGCATTCCAGGAGAGAGAAGATCATTTTCTACACCTAAACCTTCAAGATCAAAAGAAGCACCTAAAACAGATGCGGATGGGTCTTCAGGGTCTATGGAACAAGAAACTTCTTCATTCATAATTGAATTATTTTTGGTTTCTTCTCGTTTTCTTGAAATATTTCGCTCCTTACGAAGATTTGATCTGTGTATAGGAGCTCTTATAACTTGTGTTTTTATTTCTTTTAAACCTGTTTCTGTTAAATGAAAATTTGGTTTTTCGATATCATCCATTCGCAAACGAGCTTTTAAGTTACTAAGATCTATAGCAAATGTTCCACATTCATTAATTTCTGCATGTTGAGGTATTAAAGGCATTGCTTCTAATTCAATGCGCTTTTGCTCTTTAAGCTCGGAGCGTGAAAGTTTTTTCGCTTTTAAAGATACTAATGGTTTTGTTTTTCTCTGAATTTGGTTTTGACAAGAAATAGCTTTTTTTATACTGACTTTAGAAATTGTACTAGCTTTTAAGTTTGTATAAATCCCAAGGTGCTTTGTTTTTGGACGACATCTAATACAATGATAAATTAAATTGCAAGCAAGTTCGACATCTTCTTCTGTGTAGAGACCATCACACTCTCCATGCAACCACCTATTAAAAAGATATGATACATTTATAATACAATAATTATAGGTTTTAACTTTAGCATTTTACGTTTATTAGTTTAGATTTAGTAGTTTACAATTAGTAGTTTACATTTATTAAGAAAAATATAGAATTAAGTTTTTTCAAAATGTCAAACAAAAATTCTCAAAAACCTCTTAAAAAAAATTATTTTAAAACAAAAATTATTCAGCGCTGATTTAAAATTTGCAGTCACTTTAAAAGTTATTAACACTATAACAGTGATACGCAATACTTTTATGTATATATATTTTTTCTCCTAAAGGAATAAGAAGTCACTAGAATGGAGGAGGCTTATTTTTTAAGATTTTTTTCCTTTGTTACAATCCTCTTTAAACCTTTTAACTTCAAAACATTAATGTACAGTCATATATCTTGAATTAATGTTTCTGATTTTTTTTTTTTTTTTTAATGAATTTAGGGTGTAGATTTAAAACTACCCATAAGATACCCATAGAGATGTCATGTCATAAGTTGGAATGTTGCATGTTAAACAAAAAAATAGAATTATCCAGTTTTGCAAGTCCACTTCATATATATATATATATATATATATATATATATATATATATATATATATATATATATATATATATATATATATATATATATATATATATATATATATATATATATATATATATATATATATATATATATATATATATATATATATATATGTATATATATATATATACACATATATATATATATATATATATATATATATATGCTGCACATTTAATAATTCTTGGTGCCTGAATGCGATGGGGAAAACCCCGAAGACCACCCGCTGGTCCAGGTTGCCCAAGTGCAGGAGCAGGAGATAGTGATTTGATCCATTTAACTTTGCTTATGTCGTGGTAAATCTTAAAGCATTGTATGAGATCACTTCGGCGCCTTCCATTTTCAAGTGATTGGATACCAGTTTATAGCTGAAAATTTATAGCTGAGCAGCGTTCCTTGGCTTTCATGGTTCACAGATTTGGGACAACTTTTGTGGCTTGATTTTGAACAGCTTCAAGAGCTTTTATATTTTCAATTGAAAAGGGTCGCCATGCTGATGAGCAAAACTACAAATGAGGCTTTGCATAAGAGCAGTAAAGGACGCGGAACATTTCAAGAGTCCAATGTTTGAAAGTGCCTCTAAGAATTCCAAGAACAGTATATGAATTTGAAACAGCTTTTGCTACTTGGTCGTTCCACAAAAACCGATTGTGAACAACAATACCAAGATCACGTTCAGAGATGGTCTCTTTAAGAATTTGAGAAAAGCCAGTTTTGTCAGTCATTGTTAGTTGGAAGCAGGGATCATTAAATTTATCATCAACAAAAGTTTTGTTGTTTAAGTGTTGTGTGCAACGATGCTTGTTAAAAATCATATAACTGCATTTTTCTAGATTAAAGCTCATTGACCAAGTATCAGCCCAGTCAACTACTTTATCGATGTCGGTTTGTAATCGCTGCAGGTCAGAGGGTTCTTTTATAATCGCAATAATTTTAGTGTCGTCAGCATAAAGTTTGCAATGGTGATTGAGTAGACGAGGCAAATCATTAATAAAAGTGAGGAATAGTAATGGTCCAATACATGAATCTTGAAGTACACCACTGAGGACGTTCAACCAGCTGGATTCTGAAAACTATATATTATATATATATATATATATATATATATATATATATATATATATATATATATATATATATATATATATATATATATATTTATCATTTTTAGACTTAAAATGTTAAAATAAACTACTTTTTGGTCTAAAATCAACTTTAAATAATTTCACAGTAAAAGAGCAAAGATAGCTCAAAGGAGAAGTATTGATTCCTTGACTCAAACAACTATAAAACTAGAGAAGGCTCTTTCTCTGAAAACACAAACTGACTTAAGTGATTTACAATATCAAATATTGAAAAATTTTCTCACAATGTAAAAATATATCCTAGTCTTAATAAGCTCGGGGAAGAAAAGCTGAAATGTTATCCTGATGATGTTCAATTTACTGAAATGTTATCCTGAAGGTATTCGATTTACTGAAATGTCAGCAAAATGCTCATTACAAAGTATACTAAATTATACAGTTACTAGGCTGAGGTTTATAAGCTGACACAGCCTTAATGTCATGTTAAATTGGGTTTGATGGAGCTTTAAGTCAAAGTATTTACAAACAAAAATTTGATAGCCTTAGAATCAAAGCAAGAAGATAACCTGTTTAGCACAGCAATTGTATCTCTTTTGTTTAAAGTTGAAAATATTGACTTTTGGAAAAATTCTAAAAGTTCTAGCTTCCATTTTTGTAGACATCTTTACCTGCAATATAAAAAAGAGACATCAGAGTTGTGCAAAGAAGAAGAAACTGATCTTCAAACTTAAATAAATCAGTTAAAACCCTTCTTAACAGATTTGAATATTGCTGGTACAGTAATAACAATTAAGGTTACTTTTAAAATTGATATGACCATGTTTGATGGAAAAGTAGTAAATTCATTGACTGACACAAAGTCAACTCAGTCTTGTAATGTTTGTGGTTGTAAGCCCAAAGAGATGAATGATATAGACGTTAAAAAAAAATGTGTTAATGAGAAAGCCCTTAAACTATTTCAAATCTGTTGAATAAGATCTTTTGAATTCATCTTACATTTAGGTTATAAAATAGAAATCCAGAAGTTTCAAGCCAGAACCGAAAAAGAGAAGCTTACTGTAAATTTAAAGAATTTTATTAAATTAAAGTTCAGAGAAAAGTCGAGTCTCATTGTTGATTAGCCCAAAGTAGGCTTTGGTAATAGCAATGATGGAAATACTTCAAGAAGAGCATTTGAGAACTCTACAATTTTCTCTGAAATAACAGGGTTGATATGGAAGTTTTTAACGATAAGCAATTTATTCCGTTCAAAACACAACGTTTTTAGAAATATTTTTTTCGAAATTAAATAAAAAACTTTTATTATTTACATATGGTTTTTAGCAAATGCTTTTACAAAATTAAATTAAGAATGCTTCTCATAATTAATTTGTATTTATTACACAATTTAATATTATTAATAAACTTATATAAATAAAATTTTATTTAATTTTGTTAAATGTTTGCTGTAGACATTTTATAAAAAGAAGTCTCATTCACAAATCACCATTCATTTTTCGTAGAAAATTGTGCTCTAATTTCAACAGAATGACATAAGTCATTCTGTTGTTTTTTTTAAAAAGTAAAAATGAGTTTTTTAATTGAAGTATAAAGATTATTTTGTTTTTAACAATAAGCAAACTTTATTGTTTAATTAAACAAGAATCTTTAACAAAAACTTTTTATAAAAAAAATTTAATATAAAATCAAGTAAACCATTATTAGTTTTCTCCCACTTAAATTTTTAGGGCAAGCGCGATTTTTTACTCTTGTAACTAAATTAACAAGCGTTTTTTATTGCGCCTGCAAATATTCCATTAACAAGCGCGTTTCACGAGACGTGAGCGATTGCTCCTGCTTCATGCCAAGGCCTGATATATATATATATATATATATATATATATATATATATATATATATATATATATATATATATATATATATATTTATATATATATATATATTATATATACTATATTATATATTATATATACTATATTATATATTATATATACTATATTATATATATATATATATATATATATATATATATATATATATATATATATATATATATATATTATATACTATATTATATATTATATATACTATATTATATATTATATATACTATATTATATATTATATATACTATATTATATATATATATATATATATATATATATATATATATATATATATATATATATATATATATATATATATATATATATATATATATATATATATATATACAAATAGTATTGCGTACTAAAATAAGCAATCTGACGTCATACTGAAATAGCCTGCTGTTGGGGGCTTGAGTACATACATCGACTGACAAATAGCCTGACTCACAGTGGAGTGCTGCTACATCGACTGAGGGTTTGGGATGGGGAAGCAATCGTTTTATTCATCATTCTTTGTTTTTTCTTCTTTTTCGAAAAAAACGGTATAGCTTAAGGTAAGCAGAAAAAGTGAGCAAATGCTTATCAAAACACGCTTTAGTAAGTGTGTGTATATATATATTTATATATATATATATATGTGTGTGGATATATATATATATATATATATATATATATATATATATATATATATATATGTATGGTTCGAAATAACAAACTTTTTTGTTCTGGATATTTTGTCCGATAAATACTTAGGTTTTGCAGACATTTTCAGCAAAAACCCAAAACCTAACATAAAAATTTATTTTAAAGAAAGAAGTGAGATCACTCACCTTTCCTGACCATACATAAAATAATTTGTTTTTACAACTTAACTACTGCAGCTAGCTTTTGACAATTTTAAGCATTTAAGGCAAAAAAGGCACACAAAAAAAAAACTTAAAAGATAACTTACCTGAAAAATTTTTTTTTTAAAAGAAGAAAAAAACTAAAATTAAAAAAAAAAATTTTACACAATGTTTTTTTTAATTTTTAAAAAACCTTTTAATACCACGTGAAATGCTTTGTAAATATTTTTAAATTACAAATATATTAATTACACAAATAATTATGTTTACTTATTACTTAGGTAATAATTAAACATAATAATTAAATATAATTTTGTCAACCTAAATCAATTTTCTAGAGTTAGAGAAAACCTTTTTATATTCTTAAATCAATTAACTAAATTTTTTGTTAATGAAACTAAACTTGAAAAATATTTCAAAATTAAAAAAACCTACCTGTTACATTTCTCACATTGAATAACTAAATTGTTTGCTTCATATGCATATGAACAAATAGAACAATATTGCTCACTAGAACAAGGACCACATTGGGTGTAGTTAGCCATCCATAGGTTATCAAAACCAGCATCTTTACTGCCACAGTCTTCACAAACTACACACCTTAATAAATAATTAAAAATAAAAAATATTTTATATAGTATTCTAAAAATTGCCCTTTATTTTAATTCAAATAAAAAAATTTAATTGAGATCAACAAATTTATAAAAGCTAAAAAAAAAAATTTTATTCTCCTTTTTCTGCTTTGCCAGAAAAAGTGAAATTAAATTTAATATTTTATAAATTTATGTACACAATATATATTATAATATGCTGACTATTCTGTAATATATATATATATATATATATATATATATATATATATATATATATATATATATATATATATATATATATATATATATATATATATATATATATATATATATATATATATATATATATATATATATATATATATATATATGTACAACCCTCGGAATTAGAGTCGGCATTCGGCAATGCCAACCTAACTGCCAACCTGAAAGTGTTTGAGGTCGGCAAAAAATTGCTGACCTCGTTTCTATGTTTTATGGTTAGACTTTTGTATCAAAGAGTTTTTGCCGACCTCAAATAAATTGAGGTCGGCAAATTATTGCCAACCTCATTTTTCCTAATTTCGAGGGTTGTATGTATATATATACTCTTGCTTGGTCATTTTTAATTTTTCCATTGTCAGGTCAGTTTTAGGTAGTTTTTTCAAAAAAATTGTTTTAAAACCGGAAAAAGTTTAAAAAACTTTTTTTTTTAAGTTTTTTTTTATTATTTGATAGACTGCCTGCTCCAACCAAAATCAATATAGTACTACTTCCTTGTAGCAGCTGGCTATAAGATAGTTGATTCAGAACTACCATGTAGCAGCAGGCTATAAGATAGTCGATATAGCAACACTCCTTTGTAGCAGCAGACTATAAGATAATCAATGTCTGTCCTTCACTTGAGTTCACAATTCTAGCTTGGAACCCTCATTTGGTGAAGGATGAACAAACTATTGAGCTAATACAGAGTCACATAAGATACCAGACAAACTGAAAAAGTTAGAATACAAGTCCAGATGTTTAGAACTTGGCCTAACTTTTCTATTTGACTGTCGTAAACAAGGTGACCTCATTCAAAAACATAAGATTATTAATAATATTGACATAATCAACTGACACTTTCCTCTCATCACAATTCCACTAAGAGTAAATCACAGAGAAATAGACTTCAATGTGAAAAATACAACAACAATTTAGCTGGTTTTAACTTTTTTAACAACCACATTGTCAATGCATAGAACATCTTATGAGATAAAGTAATTGATTCTCAGACTGTCTCCAATTCTCTGACTTCAAAGCGAGCCTCTATAGGCTGCAATGTTACTAGAGCTCGCAGCTTTCCTTAGTGGAAGTTATTTATGAGCTTCACAAAAACTGTAATCTGATAATCTATGATTGTATTTTATCAATTATTTGGACTTTTGTTGTAACAAATATACTACTATATGTATATATATATATATATATACATACATACATACATACATACATACATACATACATACATACATACATACATACATACATACATACGTACATACATACATACATACATACATACATATATATATACATATATATATATATATATATATATATATATATATATATATATATATATATATATATATATATATATATATATATATATATATATATATATATATCTTTTATATATATATATATATATATATATATATATATATATATATATATATATATATATATATATATATATATATATATATATCTTTTATAGCGAATTTAGATAAGCATTTGCTCACTAGTTTTGGTTACCGTAATAACATACAGCATTTTCAGAAAAAGGAGAAAAAAAACGAAGAATAATAAAAGAAAAGATTGCTGCCCCATCCCAAACCCTCAGTCAATGTGGCAGCACTCCACTGCAAGTCAGGCTATTTGTCAGTTGATTTATTTACTGAAGCCCCCAGCAGCAGGCTATTTCAGTGTGACGTCAGAGTATTCATCTAAACAAGCAATTTAAGTTGTGGATGTAGCCATGCATGACACACCACTAATGACATCATATTGAAAGAACCAACTGCAAAGGAATATTATAAAAAAAGTTTATTTATTAATTTCAAATAAATTTACTTAAATAAAAATAATATAGTACCATTGACATTTCCAACCACCAATAGGAACTTCTTCTAAGGGAGGATCCAAACAATATGTGTGGAAACTTATGTCACAGATATCACATAACAATAGGTGCCCCTCATCTGAATTTCTGCCACATCCTTCACAAACTGAACAGTCTAAACACCTCCAGCCACGAGTTAATATCACTTCATTGATCTTTCAAAAATTTGAAAAATAAAAAAAATTATTAACAAATTTATTTGAAAATAATTTTATACCAGTGTCTTGCCAAATTTAATTTAAAATAAATTTTAAATTTCAAATATTGTATAATTGCAACATTTTTTTAAATTAAACAAAAATTTTTGATTAATTTTAAATGTTAAAAAAAAAAAATCTAAATGCTTAAAAAACAGCCAGAAAACCAAAGACTTATTCAATTCCACAGAACAACTAAAATAAACATCTAATTAAACATTTTATTTGTGCTAAAATTTGAAAAAAATCAACAAAAACGAAGTTTTTAACTATATCAAACTTAAAAAAATATTCAACCTATTGAACCTTTTTAAAAAAATTTTTTTTAAAAATCCATAAAATTTAGAAAATAAAAAATGGCTATAAAAACAAATTCATATGATACAAATTTATAAGATATGTATGGGGTTTTTTATATAAATACAATAACCCCCATAGTTAAATAAAGCATGAAATTCTAAATAACCATTTCAAAAAACTTTTTTTGGAAACACAATGCAGATCATTTACAAGCCCAAAAATAGATGTAAAGCACAATATTAAAAATCATTATTGTCACTTGAAACAACCAACAACTTCAGAACAAGTTCAGAATCGAAAACTCCACAAAAAACAATATCAATAACACAAAAGCAATGCATAAAGTAAAAAAAACAATCTGTTTATTCTAAAATATTGCAATTTACTTATATTTTGCATACGAATACAATTTAGAGATATCTCTGATAATAAAAAAGATAAATACTCAAAACTAACCATGACATTTACACAAAAAGGATGAAAGCACTGGCCACACTGCACACAACCAATTAAGTAACCTTCACTGCCTTTACCCAAACTTCCACAGCACATGCATATATCTTGTTTTAATGTAAATGAATCACGAGTTGAAACTATAACAACTGTAGAATGAAGACCAACAACTTCATTTTCTTCATCTTCCTCTGTTCTGGTTCCATTCTCTGCTTTGTCAGAATATTTCACAATATTTGACTAAAGAAATACTAGTATTAGAATTTCTCAGTAAAGAGTAAAAATTTTACATTAAACTTTGAGTTAAAAGTTTAGTTAAGCTTTTAAAGTAAATACTTACTAGGTCTTTTTCTTCTTTTTCTGTATCTTGAGAAGTAATTTGAGAATCTTTTGTGTAATTGGGATTTCTACTAAAATGACCTCGTCCTCTGAAAGATTTCTAAACATGTTTAATTTAAAATTACATTTTGATAAATAAATTAACTTAATATAATACTACACACTAAAGAATTTTAAGGGATTTGCCTTCCCCCCCCCCCTTCTTTCTTTTTTTACAAAAAATATTATTTAATAAATTTATCAAAGCTTTATAAGTAAAGCATTAAGTAAAAGTTAAAATCAAAATACACAAGTTAAAATCAAAATAAAATCTTCTAAGTTCAGATTACTATTGGACTAACACATATACACACTTGTTAATTTTTGATACTGTAACTTCTTTTATTTATTAAATAAAATCAGAATTTGCAGTATCAATGTGAAGATATTTCACTGTCATATTTCAATATTAACAATGCTTACTAAGCATTTTAAAAATTTGCGGCAAAATAAACATATAAAAAACTACAGAAAAAACAGAAACACTCAAGGAAACAAATGCTATACAAAATACAATATCTAAATAAAAAACTAAAAAAATTTGAAAACTAAAAAAAGAAAAATTTTGTCAAAAAAAAATATATACCTAACTATATTACTGTTTTTTTTTTCTGTTTTTTTTTTTTTTTTTTTCAGGATGTTTGTTATTTTCCACTGTCAAAATTAAGTCAAGAAAGAAAGCAGATAAGAATATAGCAAAAATAAAAACATTTTTTGATATACAATTTTAGTCAGTCAGTATATTAAGGAAATACTTTATTATTTGTACTATAAATAAGAACAATTAAAAAAATTGTTTTTTTTTCAAATGTTCTTGCTAGTGCACAGGAAAGCAAGAAAACTAATTGCTATTTATTTGTAAAATATATAAATATATATTTTTTTTAACGAGTTTTTCATGTAAAATAATAAAAAGTCATTAATACTAATGTTCAAATATAAAATATTTGGTTTTTTTTGCTGTCCCCATTAAAATAGTCTGCACTTGTGTGGGTTCAATTCTCCATTCAAACCAGATAGTTTATTTAAACCATTCAAACCAGATAGTTTATTTCCTAATCAACTTTTGTTATCAACGCTCCAAAATTTGCATTGTTACATTACTGAATTTTTTAGACAAAACTTTTAGGAGCCAATTTAAAACATTTTTTCAAGTTTTTAAATACATTTTTTCAAGCAGAGCAATTGTTATGTTCATTATATATAGTAATTCGGCTTGACGTTGAAAATTGAGCAATTTAAAGAAAACAATTTCAGACAAGCATAAAGTATTGTAAATACATTTAAAAAAGAAACCATGCTTTTCTTTTATTTAATTTCTTTCATCATTAAAAAATTTATTAATCAAATAAGATATTTTACAAATAAATAAAAATTTATTTTCTGATTTTCCTATTATAAACTTATCCTTATAAAATTATTTTAAAAATAATACACTATTTTTAGGGGTTATATATACCCTCGTTATTTAAGTAATATAAAAAACCATTAAAAAACAATCAAATAATAAAATCTTATTGTAATGTGTTCTTGCATCATAAATAAGAAAAATAAGGTTTCCAATACGGCAATGTTATGTAATTACCGCCATCTTCATTTAAACCACCTTCATTTAGAGAACACTAGTGACATTGTATTTCCAAAGACTCACTTTTCTCTTTAAGTCTTTAAAAAGGAAAAGTATGGAAGTTTTTTTTTTTTAATATTCATTTTTTAATTATTAAATTTTTCTAGTTTATTTAATTAAAACTTGATATTTTGTTACAATTTTGCTTCCTTTTTTTAGAATTGTTTGTTTTTTTCTCAGTAGACAAGTTTAGCTTTTTGACACAAATTATTGAAATGCTTGAAAGTTAAAAAATGCAAACTGCTGTGGTCAATGCGTCTAAAAAAAAGTATTTAAAACGTGGAAGAACAAGGCGTGCAATTGCAATCAGGAAGGCTTGCATTTTTTTTATAACAGTAAAACAAAGGATGAAAGAAATAACAAAAATGAAATTTATATTTTAGGAAGCTTTAAAATATATATATATAAAAGCCTAATATAATAGAAAAGTAGTAAGCATATGAAAAGCTTGAAGAAAAGAAATAGAATAAACAGAGAAAAAAAATGATTTTAATTATATATAGCACAAAAACTAAGAAAAAAATAATAAAACTCACCATTGTAAAAATCAAATAAATTAAAAAACAAAAGTATATTGAGAAAAAATTTATTAAAATTCTATTTTTAATATGGAATATTTATGTATCTTTCTTCTAACAAGACTGTATTTTGTTAGCCTTTATTTGTAAACACATATTTGATTTGTTTTTATATGATATATTTATATGATATATGTCTTGTAACACTTCGAAAAATTGACTCTTTTTTTTCTTCAAATAATTAGATTTTTTTATGTTTAAGATTTTTTGATTCTAAATTACTGTTCAATATTTTTTTTTTTATTTTACTTTTTACATTTTTTTTAATTTCTCATTTGTTATTTATTTTATTAACATATTTTCTCATTCATTTTATTAACATATTTTCTCAATTCTTGTAAATTTTTCTTTTGTTTACTTGTTTGCTTTATTTATTAACTTGTTTACAAAATAAAAAAATAGTTCACTCCACTGAAAGATGGTAAACTTGGTAAATATTCCAACTAGGAAACCCAATTAGTTATAATATATTATGTTAATATATATTAGTTATAATATATTATGGCTAAGTTAGAATAGAAAACAGTTTAAAAAATAGGTTAATCAAATTTTTTTTTTTTTTTACCTATGTTAAAACAGGTTTAATCCAAAATAACTTGGTAATTTATATATGCATGTGTACACATATATACATAAGCTTATATAGATACACTTTTTTTTTTCTTTTGTTAATTCCCCTCCTTAAGGCTGATAAAGCCACTGCAGGCGAGGAGGCTACTTAATTGTGGTTATAACCCTCTTTCAACTCTATAACTCCGAAACATGAACCTTGACGAACAAGGCCGCTGCGCGGTGAAACACTTACTTATGTAATAATTCAATATAATCTTTACCTTAAAAGTTCTCATTTTTTGTTCATGACCTCTTCCTCTACCTCGAAAAGATTGAGCGCTTTGATAGCTATCACTTATAAGGCTACTGCTGTATGGAGAATCTAATGTTGACTCACTCTCTTTTCCATCAAACTTTTGCTCATCACCTGAATAAACTTTATTGTCATTGTCTAATTGTAAACAAGAATCTATAAAGTTCATTGATGCAGCCAAGGAAAAAAGTTCAGCTTCTTCAATGGAAACAACTTTTTGACCTGATGAAAGAAACTCTTGATCATACCAGGAATTAGATTCATTCTAAAAAACAAATATTTTGAAAATATATATATACACATATACAAATACATATATATATTAGACACCAGCAATTTCTGGAAATTTATCACTTCAAGCTGGAGTAATTACCTTATAAAAAAATAGGAATTTTGGCGAAAAAAGTAACTTTTAAAGTTGAGTAGAAGCTATCTTATTTTAAAAATAAGCATTAAAATTCCAACTTAAAAGATTTCTTATAAGTTGTTATTTTTATTGGATATATCGGGGTGTTCACTCTGCTAGATAAACTAAAAGAACTAGAAAGGACTGTTTTGAAAGGCATACTAAAAAAACTAAAATATATATTTTTTGTGCATAATTGATTCAATGATTATAAAAAATACATTTTTCAGTTATTCAACTGTGTTTTTTAAAAATAGTTTTATACATTTTTTTAAGTTTGTTTTAAATTGACACCCTGTTTATTATGACATCCGGCCTTAAAAAATGTAAACAAACCAAAAAGTAAAGTATCAAATTGTAGATTGAACCTTGCGAAAGCGTTTTACTGTTATTTTTAAGGAGTTATAGAATCTTTAATATATATTAACTATATTATCAAACTTAATTTATTACAATAATAAAAATATGCCTCCTGTAAAAAGAGCTAGACGGTATAATTTATATGGTGGTAGCCCTTCTGATCTTCCTATTACAGATCTAGCAACTTATGGTGATGTAGCAAGATTTTTCTACAAATTAAAAGATTTAGTTGGTATTAAAGACAAAAATATTATTATTCAAAGAACGCTTTGTAGTTTAAAAGAAATATGGTTCAATTGCAATTCCAAATTAGTTTTGTTACCTGAAAAAAGTTTGATTGTTAAACTTTTAAGATTTTATAATAATGTTATTTCTTGGAATGGAAATGAAATTAAACCTTTGACCAAAAAATTGTTGGAAAAAAATAAAGAAAAACTTTTTGATCTGCTAGCATGTAACTGCAAGCTTGAAGTTCTTCCTTGTGATGACAGGAATATCAAATGCTCAGGTTGTTCAAATGTGCATCTTTACTGTAGTTGTGTTGGTAGTAAAAAAGTAAGTTATACAAATTTAAAGAAATTTTTTTTAAATTAAACTTTAAATAACTTATTTAATTTTATTGATAAACTTTTTTATATTTTATCATTATTTTTTATATTTTTAAATAATAATATGTTTTAAACAAATTAATTGAAAATAATATTTAAAACCAGAAATAATTATTTATGTTCCTTTGGAAGAGCGCTCCTATATAAAAGACCAAAGGGAGAAAATTGGTACTAAAGGAAAGTTTCAAATAGGAGGTATTGACAACTCTGTTTTATCACCTACCTCAAAAAAAACAAAGCAAACAAAAGCTTCTGATGAAGAAATTTATATTAAAGAGTTTGACACAATCATGGATTCAGATAATAAATTGTGACCTGTAAACTTTGATTGTATGATAAAAACTATATATATTCTTAAATTTCTTGATTCTTTTAAATATAATGCTCTAAAGTTAATTAGAGCATCTTAAATGTTAATACAATTAAATGTAAAATTTTCATTGTTATGATTTTTAATTTCTGGAAGTTTTGTTGTATTTTTTTCTATAATTACAGAGTGAAACTTCAATTTCATTATTAAATGAGACTAGATCAAAGAACTATAACACTACCCACTATCCCAAATTTGCTTTAGAGGTTATTAGATATGGAATATCAGACGAAGCAGCTGCAGCTGTAGCTAATGCTCTACTTCAAGATATTGGTTATCTACATCTAAATGATGTAATTGATCCAAGTAAAATGAAGAGAGAGTAAGAACGAGTATGCTTTAATGCTAGTTTTGAGCAATCTAAAGTTTCAAATATAAAGGCAATTGGTTTGGATAGCAAACGTAAGAAAAACTCATTGGTTTATAAACAGAGAGATATTGACGGTGAAATAAATCTTTGTAAATCTACCAGCGCTGTAGACCATTTGACATTCACAATTGAATCAGGTAAAGGTCAATGTTATCTCTTTTGTCTCTGTATTTTTTTTTTTTTAATTTAATTTTTTACTAATAAAAATGTTTTAATTTGAATAAGGCGAGTTGCAAGGTCAATATCTAAAGCACATAGATGTACCTAAAAAAAAAGGTAAAGGAAAAGATCTTGCTGAATTTACCTGTAATGTTCTCAAGGAGTTTAAGAGTGATAAAAGTATCCAGGCAATAATTTTGGACAATACAAGTGTTAATACAGGTATATTTTTTCTTCAAAAATGCCTGTCTGAAAAATAAAAAAAGATAATACATAAATCTTTATTTGAGTTATATATTTTCATATTACTATATCATTGTAGGTAAAGATAATGGTTTAGTTGCTTGTCTTGAAAGAATATTGAAAAGAAGAATTCATTTAATTGGCTGTCTTCTACATGTTAACGAGTTACCATTGCGTCATTTAATTTCTAAACTTGATGGTTCTTCTAATAGCTTAAATAATTATTCGGGTAATCTAAATAATAATATTATTTTTCTAATATTATTATTTAGATTACCCGATTATTATTTAGCAACATTATTAAAATTTATAGATATTCTATTTTTTACTTCTGATAAGCATTCTATTTATTATTCTGATAAGCATAAATAAAAATTATTATTTTGAGTAAAAAGTTATAACTATTAATATTTATATACTTGATCAAATAATAATAATAATATTTTAAAGGACCAGTTGGTAAATCTTTGACAAATCCAATTCATTTAAATTTAACTGTTGACTTCATACAAGTTGAGACAGACATTGAATATCCTCCTCTGTGTGTCATTAAAGACCTCTCTGCTGACCAGAGAATGCTACTGGAATATAGTATTGGAATTTCTAGAGGGTTTTCAGACAATAAGTATCTGAGAAAAAAATTAGGTGTGTTGTTTTGTAAATCATTTGTTCCTAATATTTTTCCTTTTATTTTGTTTGTTTGAAGTTTATGTAAATATACATTTATTAATATATAATTTACTATTAAATTATACTATTAATTAATTTTTATATATAAAAGATTATATTTTTAGGCCCTATTTGTCATGCAAGGTGGCTGACAACAGCAGTACGGATCTTGGCACTATACACAAGAACAATCAATCCCAGTAGAGAGCTCAAAATATTTGTTGAATATATTCAAACAGTATATACTCCTATGTGGTTTAATATTAAAAAGTCTAAGAGTTTCACAGAGGGTCCTAAACTTATTTTCCAATTTATTCAGCGGATTTTGAGGTTGGATACTGAAGTTCGAAATATTACATTGCCCATAATTTATAGAAACTCTTTTTGTCTCCAACCTGAGAATTTTATTGCTGCTCTACTTTATTCTGAAGAAAAAGATGGTATTAGGGTTAATGCCATTCCAGTTATTGATTGTAGATATAAAAACTGGTCAAAATTAATAAATCTGTATGATATAGACTGTTTTGAGCCCCCTTGCGTGGAAGATATATCAAATGAGGAGCTTTTGAATATGATACCAAATCAGGGAAAGGCTCCAAACTTTCCGTGCCACTCGCAAACGGTTGAAAAAGCAGTGAAAATGACTTCTGATGCTAGCGGAAAATTTATTAACCTCAAGAAAAGAAATGCTTATATTCTAGCTAAATGCCAAAGTCAAAAGAAACGAAAATATTTTAGAACAAAGAAAGAATATACATTGTAATTTGTTATCATTTCTTTAAATTAATCTATTTGGTAATATGTTTGTTTACTATTATTATTAGTTTGGTTCAGCAGTAAAAGTATAATATATTTAGTATTAGTCAAAAGGGGCATAATAAAATCTTTTTTTGGGGGGTGAGTGGGGGGGGGGGATTGTTAACACCTGCCCCGCCATCTAGTCACCACACGTAAAAATAGTTTATTTCTTTTGCTTCTGTATATTAGAGTAAATCCTAATAAAAAGTGCTGCAACAACATAACATTGTTATGTTTAAATCCATTTTTCAGTTAATGGCTAATGATTATTGAAAACCGCTTATTGTTTTAGTTATTTTTCTAATACCCTAAAAACAACCTTAAAAATTAAAATTATTTATACAACTTATCCTTATAAACAATACATTCATAAAAGTTTTTGTGCGTTAACATTTCAAATATTTATTGTGTGACCTCTTAAAGTTTTTACTTTTTAATGATAATATATGATAAATATAAGACCAAATAAGATAGAACCGGAAATACCTGAAGCTTTTATATTTTGCCCATAATGTTTTTATGGTCTAAAGAAGGTACTCCAGCTTGAAGTAATTGCAATTTCGAAAAAAAGCTAAAAATTACTGGTGTCTAATATATATATATATATATATATATATATATATATATATATATATATTTATACCAACCCTCGGAATTAAAGTTGGCTTTCAGCAATGCTGACCTAACTGCTGACCTTAAAATGTTTGAGGTCAGCAAAAAATTTCTGACCTCATTTCTAGGTTTTATGGTAACCCCTTTGTGTCAAATTTTTTTTTGCCTACCTCTAACAGTTTGAGGTCGGCAATAAATTGCCAACCTCACTTTTCCTAATTCCAAGGGTTATATATATATATATATATATATATATATATATATATATATATATATATATATATATATATATATATATATATATATATATATATATATATATATATATATATATATATATATATAACCCTTGGAATTAGGAAAAGTGAGGTTGGCAATTTATTGCCGACCTCAAACTGTTAGAGGTAGGCAAAAAAAAATTTGACACAAAGGGGTTACCATAAAACCTAGAAATGAGGTCAGAAATTTTTTGCTGACCTCAAACATTTTAAGGTCAGCAGTTAGGTCAGCATTGCTGAAAGCCAACTTTAATTCCGATATATATATATATATATATATATATATATATATATATATATATATATATATATATATATATATATATATATATATATATATATATATATATATATATATATATATATATATATATATATATATATATACATATATATATATATATATCCTTATAGTGTAGTTGAAAGAGACTTTTATGGTAAAAAGTCTCTTTCAACTACCATTTTTTTTTACCTCTTATGCTGCATGTTATTGTTGTCAAAATGTCAAAGCAATTAAATTAATGCGGAAGTACATTAAATTTTATTGTTTTTAACGAAAACCCCAATAATAATGACTAGAAAGTTTTTTCTAATTAGTGGTCTTTTTGTTTTTGTTTTATTAAAAAACATTTTTAAAACATGCGTAAGTGTTGCTACATCGACTATCTTATAGCCTGCTGCTACAAGGGAGTGCTGCTACATCGACTGACAAATAGACTGACTCGCAAGGGAGTGCTGCTACATCGACTGAGGGTTTGGTTTGGGCAAGCAGTCTATCATTTAAAAAAAAAAAAAAAAATTTGAAGTTTTTCAACATTTTCTGGTCAGGCTTATTAACCATTTTTCACTGTAAATAGTATATTGTTGTTAAAAGGCCATTTTTTTGTAAGAAGAATAAGAGATGGTAAATTATTGTTATTGTTTCAATTAGTTACAATAAACAATTGGCAAATGTGGAATTAATTGGTAATATTGTGCAACCTGTTCTAGTCTACTAAACTATGAATTAGTTCAATTCTGAATAGTAACCAACTGGGGCTTGATTTTGACTCGGGCTGAGTTTGATAAAATAAGGACAAGTTAGTGATTATTGTTTTAACATCCATCCAGTGCCGGATCAAGGGAGGCTATAGCCCTGGGCCCTGCAAAATTAGGGACCCAAAAAATTTTAGAGGACCTTTTTTTTTCTTTTTTTTAGTCATTTTTAGGCTCTGGCCCATAAAAAGGTCTCCAAAAACAAAAATAGCCCCGGGCCCCAAGAAGTCTTAATCCGCCACTGCATCTATCTCTAGACACTTGCAGGGGTTGGGGAGTTTCAAATCATACAAATTCTTTTATTCTAGTAGTTTTGCTTATTATACTCTTATAAATCCCTTTCTTGTTGTTAAACTGTCATCAGTGTCATTTTGGGGGATTAAAGACCTCTAATAAATTTTGATATAGCAAATTAAATACCTCTCACATGATATTACGAGGTATATATATCAAGGCAACTGGTTCCCTAAATTAGAACACTTTAATTATTTAATCAGAACAGGTTGTTTTTTTTTAAAACAAAACTCACTAAAATCAACAAAAATTGATTAAAAATGATCATTATCTTTACAGTGAAAATTTAAACAGTTCATTTAAAACTTATAATAGATTAATATTATCCTGACAAACTGAAATTCTAAAAACAAAAAATTGTATAAAAGCTTTAACTGTTATGACGTTCTCTTAATTTATTGATTAAAAATCACTAAACAAAGTATTATTTTTAAGGTTTTTGGTTGTTACCAAGTATATTTAAATTGCGCTTGAACTATTTCTACAACCATTTGAATATATTACTGGCTAAGTCAAGAAAATTTTATAGTTCCAATCAAGGAAACTTTGGACTATTTTGTTATATCACTGCAATATCATCCTTGCAGCAACTTATAAGATAATTTTATATTGTTATTTTGCATTTTAAATCCCATCGAATTAAACACAAAAAACTGTATAACCTATAGCAGTATAGTTTACCCAGAGCAATCAATATAGTGTGAACACTAAATTAGATCACCAAAAAAAAATGATGCAAAAAAACTTTAAATTAATGGTGCACATGCATTATTTGAGGATCAACTTTTAAAATGTGTCAAAATGTAGAAAATAAGGCGTTTTATTTAAAAAATGCAAAATATAGCCATAATTCTTTTTTTTTTCAAAAACAAATGCAAGTGTTCCAATTGAGGTACTGTTCCAAATATGGCGACTCTCCCCTATATATCTATAATAACTATATCAATATTTATACCAAAAAGTAATATAGCAAAAAAGTTTTTCAATGGTTAAAATGAAATTCAAAAGTTTTCTCATTTTTATAGATTTATTATACACAATTGTTTTATATACTGCCTGCAAACTCAATAAATGATGCAACGCTAAATTTATTTTTAAAAAAGAGGGAGAACTTAAGTTCTTTTGGGTAGTGATTTTCATTGAACATAATGAGCTATTTTTACTTTTTATTTAAGTTACGACTCTGCGAGAGAAAATTTTGATCTTTTTTGTTTTGTTCATTAATAAAATTTACTGTTGCATAATTTATGGACAATCCTTAATCTAAAAGTTAGGCCAAAAAATAACGGAGTATAATACTATTTTGATGGTCATCTAAATTCTGTCGTTGTTGCGCACTCAGTTTAGAATGTTTAATGGGGGCATGGTAAAATAGCTGTAAAACTCTCAATTTCCTTATTATACCAGTATTAAATAACTTTAACTTTTAATTATTTTTTAAAATAATAAATTCAATAAAATGGTTTAACTTGTAAATGTAAAATAGAATTTATATGTAAAATTAGAATTTTCAATTATGTTCTTATTGAAAACATACTTTTTAAACCTTCTAACTGTTTTAAAGATTGCTGCGTGGCAAATTAATATCATTAAATTGCTTTTTTTTTTAATTTTTGTTATTTAAAATGCAAAACAAAATATCTTTATAGTTCTATAGATTTTATGTTCAATATATAACCATGTTGTATACTCATTTTTCTTGCACGAGCTCAACTTAGTTATAAAAAAACTTGAAATGTAAAACTAAAATAACATAAGTATCTTAATCATGACACAAATTTACCGCAACAAATTTCCCACAGTATTTTTATGTTTTATAACTTGTTATATAACTTGTTTTATGACTTGTTTATGATGTTTTATGACTTGTTTTTGTTGTATGACTTGTTTTGTTGTATGTGTATGTATGTTGTATGTTGTATGTTGTATGTTGTATGTATGTTGTATGTTGTATGACTTGTTTTATGACTTGTTTATGATGTTTTATGACTTGTTTATGATGTTTTATAACTTGTTATGTTTTATAACTTTTAGCTTTTTTGAAATTTTTTCGTTTGTTAAAGTGTATAATATCGTTACATAAGTTTGTATATAATCTTATAAAACTTTACAAGTAATTTGTATTTTGATAATTAAAAAAAAAAAGTCGGCAGTGGTTGGACTCGAACTATGGCTTTTCATGTTCAGAAGCTTTGCGCGCTAACCACTCAGCCATAGTGACACATTGATTACATAATTTTTAAACTATATAAATAATTTTTAACAGAAATTAGTGCAATAGATCAAAATCAAGGAGAGGTTGACGCAATGCAATTTTCAAGTAAAAGTAAAACTGTAAAACTTGATATATGTTTAAGTATGTTTTAACATTATATAATTTGAAGTTTACTTCAGTTAAATATTTGCATAAACCTTTGTTCAAATTTTCTCGCCATTACCTTGGTTGCAATGGCTACCAAGAGCTTTGTGTCAAACACGCTCAAAAGGGCACTACTAATACTATTAAGTTTAGCAATATTATATAGATAACAAAATTGCATATTTAGACTGCAAAGTGTGTTAACTTCAAAGTTGCATATTTAAGACTGTAGAGTTATCACTTCAGTCATCAGAATAAGCCTTGTTGAGAAAATCAGAAAAAGATTTTTTGATAAAAGTTTCAGTATGTCATCATTTACAATAGAATTAAGTTCTAATTTAAAAAAACCAGCCAGCTTATAGGAGATACACTAGTATCTTAATTCATGCTTAATAACAATTGGATATAAGTTTTAGGGTATATGCATCAGAAAAAAATGAAAAATAATTTCTGAAAGCATATTAATTTCCAAATAAAAACTATATCTTAAGTAAGTGCTAAGTAGTGAAAGCCAATTAATAGCTGATAATTGGCTGGTTCATCAGACGATAGTTAAGGCGATTAATTGTCATTAGCAGATGCATTGACATTAGCTAATAGCCCAAACCACTACTGGTGCATAAGCACAACTTATATATGCAAATTACATACCTAATACTAACATATTAACTTTATATAGCTACATTAATCCCTATTATTAGTCATAATCGGCCTTTTTCATTGGTACATCACAAGTAGTAATCAACTGTTTTCATTGTTAAAGCACATAACCCTTTGTCATTGTAGTTGCTTGGCATTTGATTTATTATGCACATAAACAAGTTTTTATTTGTAATGGTCTAATGATGATGTATATATTGTAATGATTTTTCCTTGTAGCTTCATCGTTTAAGTTAAAATTAATGAAACTAATGTAAAAATAAAATAAATGAATCATTTTTTATTTTTTTTTAATTATCTTCGCTTCCAACAAGGTTGCAAGCAACCACTAATTAGTGTTGGAAGTTACTGGAAGAGAAAAGATGAAGATTGTAGAGCAAGATAACGATTGACAGACGACTTAAAATATTGCAAATTATATGAATCAGGAAAGCAAGATGAAGGAAGCGAATTCCAAAGAACTGATGTTAGAGGAAAAAAGCTAGACGAATAAGAGTTTTTGGAGCACTTAGGAACAGTAACAGAAAAAGGATGAGACTTAATTGAATGACGAGTAACACGAGAATGAATTTTAGTAGATGGCACAAGAGACGCTAGCTCTTTAGAGCAGTGCTCATTATAGTATTTGTAGAAAAGAGAAAGAGAAGCAACATTACGACGATGTGACAGAGGTTGAAGGTTGGCTGCAAGAGCAGGTCCAACTATGTTTACAATGCGTTTTTGCACCTTGTCTAAAAGAGAAAGGGCATCATTAGAAGATCCGCCCCAGATATGGCAACAGTATTCCATACAAGGCCGGATTTGAGATTTATAGAGATAGAGAATAGAATCCAGAGTAAGAAAGTGACGAGCTCGATAAAGAGAAGCAACTTTAGCAGATGCTAAATTTGCAACAGATTTGATATAAGGTTTCCAAGAAAGATCAGAAGTAAGAGTTAAACCTAGAAGATGAAGGGTAGGAGACTCATCGAGTACATTACCGTTCATAAATATAGGAAGGTCTAAATTATTCCGATAACGATTGGCTGAAAAAAATTGAGCTTTATCTGAACTAAAGTTCACCAGTCACTGTGAGCCCCATGCTGTAGCAGAAGTGAGATCCTTTTTGAGCTCAGATGCCCCCTGCAAGCAATCAGAGGGAGTTGGCTTCTTATCCTGACAAGAATAAATGGTAGTATCATCAGCGAACAATGCCACCTTAGATGTGAGAATATCTGGAAGATCGTTAATGTAAATTAAAAAGAGTATAGGGCCAAGGATTGAACCTTGGGGAACCCCTGAGGTTACAGAATAAGAAGAAGAGTGCTGTCCATCAAGGACAACTTTTATACTACGATTGGAAAGGAAAGATTCAATAATCTTAAAGATGTTTCCAGATACATCGTAAGAAGAAAGCTTATGGAGAAGACTAGTATGCCAAACTTTATCAAACGCCTTGTTTGAAATGTCAAGAGCGATGGCCTTAACCTCTCCACCTTTATCTAATGCGCGATAAAACCTATCGGTTATTACTGATAGCAAATCAGCCGTAGAACGAGAAGATCGAAATCCATACTGATGATCAAAAAGTAGGTTATGAGATTCGAGATGAGAGATTAAGTGTTTGTTAATTAAAGATTCAAAAACTAAGATTCATTTAACTAAGTCATAAAGATTTTAAATTAATTTTTTTTTTGCAATCATATATGATTTAATTGTAATAATTTTTATGATTGTTGAATTGAAATCACGATGACTGAAATAAAATTTTATTTTATTTCAGTCATCATGATTATTAAATCATTCCAAGTTATTTAAAATAACTTGAAACGATTTAATAATTAACATGAAATCAAAACTTAACTTAAAAAGTCATTTATAACCTCAAAGTTAACAAATTTGCTATTTAAAATCCATTTTTGCAAAGTATTCTTTGCAAAAGAATGTAATTACTTTTTTACAGAAAATAATATTTTACAATAATATTTTACAGCAAAAAATGTTGTTGATATGTTTTGTTTTTTTGTGTGTGTGTGTGAGCATAAGATAGACAACTTTCATGTATCTGTCGCTGGTAAAGTACATTTTCAAGAAATAAATGCATATGTTGAAAAAACCTGAAATAAAACAAATTGATACAATTTTTTTATTTTTGTAATAAAATAAAAAAATTGCATCAATATAATAGTAAGTAGTTACTAAAGTAATAAAATAGTTACAAAAATTTATGCATTTGAAAGATATATTTTGCAATTATATGTAGGAATGTTTACAAATAATTCCATTCTTACAACATTTAACACTGTTCTATCAACACTAAGTGTTACATGTGAATTCTGCTAGATACTAAACTTATCTTTTTATAGAACTAAACTTTTTGATGAACTAAACTTATCTTTTTATAAAAATATAATACTTGCTGGCTTAAAAAACATTTAAGTTGACTCACGACTATTATATACAGCTTTCTTGAGTTAATTTTTTATAGAATTACGTTATTCTCATTAATTCTTATTAGTAATTACAGGATAGATTAATTTTTGCATGTAATTCATTAAAAATAAGAATTGTAATAATACTCTGTTGGTTTCAGAGATTTTCACATCCATAAACTCTAGATCAGAAATTCAAAAAATGTATTAAAAAAAACTTTTCTGGAACCTGGAATCCAATGTTCATCATTTTTGACCTTAGACCATTTTTGACCTTGTGAAAATCAAAAAATAAATAGGACTTTGCACTCCTGATTTTAAGGGAAAAGGTTTGAATGCTACATTATTAGTAGTTTAATAATTGCAATCCCACATAGTTCAATTTTAAGATTATAAAAAAAAGATTTTAATATTAAGATTGAAAACAGGAAGTTGCATAATTTTCACATATTTTTATGATTTCCACATAACAGAAAATTCTGAAAAAATATTTATGATAAAGTATTTTATTTACATCTCAACTTTGATTTTTGAAAATAAAATTAAAACAAAAAGCAATGATAAATGAACTTTTTGTTTATGCAATTTCTATATACAAATTTTGAGTTTTTGGACAGCATTCAATAAAAAGGCAAAAAAAAGCTGGAACCCCAGTCGGTTACTTGCTTAAAACAACAGGTTATGCTTGACTAAGTGTAGTAAATAAACATATTACTAAGTAATTGTATATATGTAAAGAATGGAACTTCAATAACTACATGCCTCTGAAAAAAATAGTAATTGATAAATATTTCTTAAAAACAAAATACGTTGTTACCTCATAACTGTCAGCATTTATGTCTTTATCTTCCTCAATACAATCAGGACAAATATATTCAGCCCCATCATCCAAAGGACTGTGACACTCTCCATGCACACATTTAAAACACTTTTTACATTGTATAGCATCACCATTGTTAAACAGGCGTACAGCACGTTTACATATGGGACAACTTTGACCTTTTTTTCTTTGTTGATAACAACGATCACATAATGAAAAATTATTATGCCACCTGCATGAAGGGCCAGAACCAGGTTTTGATGATCCACAGTCACTACATTTACGACAACTAACACACTTCCAAACTGACTTTGGAACTACAGATATAGGGGGATTTAAACAATAAATATGGTAACCTTTATCACATTGATCACAACACAGCATTTTTTCTTCATCGCCTGGCTGTTTACATCCTTGACATACTTTGCAAAACGAACATTGCCATCCCATTCGTACAACTGGAGTTATTGGAATATTCATATCTACACAGTAACTGTGGAAATGACGACCACAGCTTGTACAAAACAACTGAGACTGCATGTTATCAGATTTTTGACAAGTATCACAAAAGGCTTCAGCATCGACTGAAATATTTTATTTTTGTGTAAAAGTTTCAGAATAAAAATCAACTTTTAATATCACTGTTGCATAGCATCACAGTGTTTTCTTTTAAGTCAATACTAAATCACTTACACAAATATTTATAAAATTAATATTTCTTAGCATAACAAAAAAATTACCTAATTTTTCTGATCTATCTAAATGCTCTGGACACAGAAGAATCATGCTTGTTATGTTCTGAAATGCTCCAGCACTAGCACAACAAGGATAGTGAAAAAGTTTGCTACATCTTTGCACTTGACATTCTACACTTGCACCATATCGCAAACAATGACTACATTTCTTTCCAAGTAACAAAAAGTAATTAGTAAATTACACAAAAGCCTTGATTAAACAAGACTAAAATACTAATAGTTGATTAAACAAGACTAAAATACGAATAGCTGATTACACAAATCAAAAATATAGTGACTATTTAATAACACAAAACAAAATAAAAGATAAAATCAATGAAGTTTTTTTAAAAAACATTTAATAAAAAATAATACATAGTAAATATAAACACAAAAGCTACCTTCAATAATGCTTTAGCAATTGCTTTATCTACATTTTCCAAGTCATATGAATCGGTTTGGCAAACACCTGCAGACCACGCAGCACAACAATGATGAGCCCACACAAAACCATCATTATCCAAGACATCAGCAAACTCTTGCATTGTGGCTGTACCAAAAGCTGTCATATCAGGAGGTAAATTTAAATCAGCATCAATGCTTTGTTTCCTACGCCGACGTTTATGAAATACTTTCTCCTTGGTATCTTTTCTATTGTTCAAAGAATCTGAAGAATATATTTCTGTCTCCTCTTTTGGAGTATCATATTTATTTTTATCACTTTTTTTAAGAGTGCTTTGTGATACTCTATAACGAGTTAACTGTCCAAGTATTAAAGTCATTTCATATCCACAGTTACACAGAGCACAAACTTCATTACTTCTAATAAAGTATAAAATTTAAAGCAATAAAATTAACAATATAAAATTTGTGCTTTTACAATAAAAGATCAAATCCACTGGTAGTCACATATTAACAATATACATACATATCATCATCTTTAGATGGTGATGAAGGTTCAAATTCTTGTGAACTTGTGTGTCCTGAAAAACTTTCAGGTGAATTATTTACCTAATAAATAAAATATCAATTAAAATATATATACTTTCTTTAACATAGAAAAACAAATAAATTATTTTCTGTATTTGACATTTACTACTTTTATATGTATTTAATTATACAATGCACAAGCGCTATTATTTATAGTATCAACATACTTTTTGCTAAAAACTAAATTTTTAAACTACATTTTTTCTTGAAGTATTTTTTTTTTAAGTTGAAGGAAAAAAATTGCTTTGAACTTTTGCCTAAAAAGCACGAAATGAACTATTATTTGCATATCATTTCAAAAAAGTTCAATGTGCCATTGAAAAATTGATTTTGACATATACATAGTACTACTATGTATTCAAATGTATTTAGAATGTCATACTCATGTAATACGATAAATTTTCAATCCAACAATGACTCAGACCGTTAACCTTGCTCTTACTTGTGGCACAGAAGAAATTGAAGGTGTAATTTGTCTTTATTTTTGCATGATGAATAAATTTCCTCCATTACTTTGATTGCGCGCTCTGCGCATTGATTACTTCTGGGTATCTGTAGTATGGATGGCTCTCGATTCCAGTAATTTTTTTAAAGAGCTAAAATCTTTTTGTATGAATTCAATATTTCAGCCAAGTTATTAAAGTTGGTTTCATTGTACAGTTGGTGTGTAAACCAATAGTCTGCCCAGCCATATGATATAAATCAACATACTCTCTGCAGAACTATCCTTGTTGAAGGAATTAAAAAAGAAGGCCAGGATCCAATCAGCCAAAATTGAAGAATTCGAAGGCACATGCGTGCCGACCTTAGCCGACATCAGGTTGGCAAAAAAAAAAGAAGGAGTTTTTGCTTTCTGTTACAATAGAGGTAATGATTAATTGTTTATAAAAGGATTGCTTTATAATAGCATAGCTTCAGACAATAATATTTTATATTTAAAATTTTGTTTAGTAAATTAAGTATATAAATTTATGAATTAGTGATTTTTTTGTTTTGAAGTTCTTTTTTTTACAAAAAAAAATGGTCATAGTTTATTTATTACATTTTAATTTTTTAGGTTTTTTAGATTGCTCATAGAAAGAATGTCGTTTAGAAATACAAATTTAATTTATGTGCTGTAGGCGAAGATTTTGTTTAAAACGGCAAATTGTTTAACAAAATGAGTAGACAGTTTACATCCGGTTCTTTAACCTCTACGAGAAATAAGAATTAAATTCTCCAGTAGTAGGGGTGGTGATTTTCAATATTTAATTGTAGTATAGTATGAACTTGTAACTATATGTAAATTGATGGAGGGAAAACAAAAGTTAAAAATACTAATAATAAATAATTGTTTTTTTCTTATATATAAACATTGTTTTGAGTTTGCTTACTGTATTACTGTTGCGTCTGTTGCAATTTAATGGAAGCCTTAACTTTTATCAAATTAAGAAAAAGTTTTGTAACTAATGTTTCTTCTCTGCATGTGTCTAATATAACTATAACAAGGCTAAACTTTCCTAATATACTTTCTGATTTTGAATAATATTAAAAAAAAAAGTAAACATGTAAATTAGTTAAATGGTTTTAACTAATAAAATAAATTAAAACTAGATTTTATAACTTAATAAAATGATAATTACGCTTAAAAAGCGTGAAAACAACAGGCATTTAAAAAGTAATATTTTTTAACTTTGCTATGCTTGAATAAATTTGAGAAAAAAAAAAAATAATAATTGAAAAAAAAATGAATGAATTTTCGTTTTAATAAAACATGTCAAACTTGAAAAGCAAGTAATTACAATGAAAAAAATTGTAAAATAATATTTAACGAACTTTATATATTTTTTACATGTATTTCAATTTGCATGCCGACACTTTAGAATATTCAGGTCGGCAGTTGTATGCTGTCCTAAAGCAAAAGTAGGTCGGCTTTTGTGTCGGCATTGCCGAATGCCGACCTGAATTTCCCTGACTGAGGATCGCTAGTGTAGCTCTGGAGTTCCACCTTGCATTGCTGATGTTGGGTATTTTCTGAAACCTGATCAATGGAAAATGCCCCTTTTCCTCGAAAAATCGGAACACTCAAGTGAGATGAAACAAAAATTTCAAATTATCTCTCCAGCCTGATGTTTCGAGAATTACTTCTGTTCCGTTATAAAATTGTGTTTTCAGTTGTTTGTACTCCTTCAATAGTTGAGATACAAATAGATATTCGATGTTTGGCGATTGTGTTTTACTTCCAAGTACTTCATCCATCACCAAACAGAGGATTCTATCTAATACATGGTGTTGACAACTGATAAACTGAGGTTTGTTGATGCATTCTTCTGTGAACATTGATTGCAGTATTACAACAACACCATTCTTTTTTCCAGTGTTAACGCTGGTGGTATCTGCAACAATCATCTGTATTGAATTCCAGAGGTGAAATTCATCGAGGACTTTAGAAATTCCTTGAGCAATAGTTAAAGCCCTGCCATCTACCAAGCCAAGGATATCCAATTTGATTTCTTTTCTTTCATTTTTAAGGACGACCACTTGATAATCCATTCTGTCAATATGCTTGCCATCAAAGTGTAAGGACCAACTTTCCATATGCAATTTTTCAATAATTTCTTCCTTCAGCTTGATTGTCTCTTTGATTGTTGACTTGTAAATAGCTGATTGACATGGAGTTGGGATGTCAATGCCTTCACAAGCCAATTGCATGCATATGTTAGCTTTGTTTGTTGATACTCTCTTGTGGAGGTCATCAAGTTGACTGCAATTTTGCTTTTATGTTTTCTGCTTGGTGTAGGAGTTGTCTCATCTTCTTCATTGTTTTCATATCCACTGTCGCAGGCCTTATGAGATTTTGTTGCGTAACGGAAAAGCGCAACGTGAATATATGTAACTTTATTAAATAAAGATATTTACATCGTTAAAAGTTTAATTGCACCAGTTACGTATTTTAAAATACCTCATTATAATTAAATTCAAAAATACATCAGAAATTATTGTAAGTCTTTATAATGTTTAAAAAATTTAAAATTCTTTAAAACGTTTAAAAATTTAAATTTAAAATTATATCTTAAAATTTAACAATATTGTGATTAAAAAAGTTAAAATTAAATTTAACCCTAACCCTGATGTTGCTTAAAAAAAAATTTCCTTATTTTAAAATCTTATACTTATTTAAACCTAATTTTTTTCTTTACAAAACTATTTTTATGGTTATTTTTTTTAAACGAGGGGACACTTGTTTATGGTTGATTTTTTTAAAGGGATTTAAGTGTACACAATTAGATTGGGTTTTCCCCTTTTAAAAAAAAACTTTGCGCTAACTGGCTTTCGATAAAATAAAAATTGTAATTAAATGAAGATTACCGCTATTTAGCTTTTTTTCCATTAAAATATTTTATTTTTATGTACAGTGAAGCCTGATGTATTTTTACTATTTCTTACTAAATCTAAAAAGAAAAACAGTTTTTCAGTTTAAAGATGTTATTACCAGAACTTGTTTTTAACAAATATCAGTATAATTTTGAAATTTTATAAATGTTATATTTATAGCAAAAGTAATTTTTCTTTTTTTTAATAAAATAAATATAAGTTAGGCTTTTAAAGAGTTTATTTATTGATCGCGTTATTTTTAATCGGTTCAAAGTTTGGTTTGTTTTATAAAAAAATTCTTTTACACAAAATTTAACGGCAAAGGGAAAACCCAAACATAACATTTAAACTCGAGTTTGAAAAAACTTTTTTGTATTGACGTCATTTATAAATTTACAAAAGGGCATTATTCAGACCAGTATTTGGAACTGGAACTATTTTAAACTTAACTGAAATTAAAATGAAGTTATATGTAATACGAACATTTTAAAGTAACTAAATTTATTATCAAATTTATTAATTTTTTTTTTACTTTAACATAAGTTTTGGAAATTTTATCAGTGAAAAAAATTGTAAAACGAAACGTTTTGAAATTTTTAAAAGAATTTTAATTAAATTTAGTCAAATAGAACTATGAATAATAATAAAATTAATTTAAATTTAATAAAAAAAATTAAAAACATTTTTTTAAAAAAAGGAAAATAGAAAAAGGATATCTATCTGTTTTGTTATCTAATTTAAAAAAATATTCGACAAATATTTTTAAAAAAATAAATTAAAGTTTAATGTTTTCCGCTTAACCTGTTTAAAATAAACTTATTGAAAAAAGTTTTTGCATAATGTAAATTGTGAAACGCGTATGTAAAATCGTGAATACGTACATAAAATTCAAATAGGGAAACGCTTCTTAACAAGGCCTGCTGTTGTCAGCCTCACTTCAGAATCACAGTCAGAATCACTAAAACCAGGATAGTAAGATGATGAGTTGGATGACTCATTAGAAAGTTTTTGTCTTTTAGAGGGATGGATCGTTTCTTTACTGGCTGCTTGACCTGTAGAGTATCTCACTGCTCCTTTGCTTTCCACTTGGAGATGGTACAATCGCTTGTCCTCGGAAGGTAACCATGTTTCACCCACTTTAGTAATATCAAAAATTTTATCAAGGGGTTCGTAGCTTCCCCGCTTGACACATCATAACATTTCAGTATTTTATCAAGCTTTGGTCGTATAACTTGATCAGATACATGGGGAAAATTCAGTTTATTCCTCCAAAATTTGGTGACTTTTTTGGAAATTTCAGTTATTAGCTTCTTTTTTACTTTGATTTTTGGCCCAAGAAAATGGTAGCGCCTGATAATTTGCTTTTGAAGAGGCATTCTGCACTTTTATTAAAGTGAATATTCTTCCAAAAGGACCATACTTCTTCTTTTATGAGAATCTTCAAATTTTACCAAATTATTGGTCCAGACATCATTGTTCTTCTGAATGCTACTATCGCTAGGCTTGTACGATGACATGTGTTGTTTCTGTTATAACTATAAAATTAGATGAGCAGCTATATATAGTCTAAAATGTTCTAAAATATTTTAGAATATTCTAAATTGTTCTAGAATGTTCCAAAATATTTTAAATTGTTCTAGAATGTTCTAAATTGTTCCAGAATGTTTTAAATTGTTCTAGAATGTTATAAAGTCTTCTAAAATATTATGTTATTTTCCAAAATGTTCTACAGTTCTAAACACTTCTAATCTATACAAGTTTTAAATGATTTGCAGGAAAGCCACACATATTAGTAGTAGCAGTAACAAGATTAAATAAATGACAAAACCTAATTTGAATTGTGGGGTGATCTTTTCTTACAACTGAGAGGAATTGAACTTGTTTTCAATATTTTCTAATAAATGTTCATCAATTCAAGACACAGAAAATAATTTTTTTTCAAAAAGTCATAACCCTAATAAATACATTAATGATGCAACTTATCTTTTAACAATATAAATTACAATGCTAAGTTACAATTATGATGTTTCATTTGCATTTAGAACTTAGTTAGAAATCAAAAATGTTAGAAATCAAAAACTCATAAAAAAAAGCAAATACTCATAAAAAAAAGCACACCTTAAAGTGGCACACCTTAAATGACCATGCAAATATTTTTTTATTGATAACTTAGCCACGATTTTTTTTGCATATATTAAAAATGACGCATTTTAAAAATGTGTTAAAAAACAAAACTAATTTGTTATATTATCTTATTTTTCTTATTAATACTTTATTATTATAGTTATTAATGAGAAAATAAAAACATAAAAATAATATATATATATATGGGCTAATCCATTTTTAACATACGTTACACGCGTAACAACTTTATCAAAAATTTGCTATTTTGTATGAAAGCTGTTAGTCTAATGAATAAAATAAGCTAAAAAGATTTGAATCTGGTGAAAAGAGGATGAACTTATTGCTAAAAATGCCACTTACACTAACATTACACGGAAAACAAGCTAAAAAATTGCTTTAACTTTTAGGTCTGATTTCTGTGAATCAGTAAAGCAGTTTGTATAATAAACTTTCACAAAATGTTGAGAATTCTATACCAATTTAAAAAATATATAAAAATTTATTAGAGTTGACCGGCTAAGGAAAATATCCTTGTTTTTTTGATACTGTATATTTTACTTACATTAAATCATTTACATTACCATAGAATTTTTTTTTAATATTATTAGTTAGTGTTACGTAACAAAAGAATTGCAAAAGTATTGAACTCATTCATTAAAAATAATTAACAAAGAAAATTTTTAAAAACTGGTGGCACTCTTCCTGAGTGATTTTTCCAAACATTCACAACAGTTAGCAAATCGAAAAGAGTTTTTCCGCAAGACCAAGAGCAACTTTAAATAATTATTTCAGTATTACAATGTTATTAATTTTTAATTGAATAATTTAAATAAGAAAATCTTCGATTTGAAAATCTTCGATAAGAAAAAAAACCTTTCTTATTTTAAATTCTCCTAATATAAAAAGTTTCAGTAATAACCTTGTCAAACCAACGCAACAAAATCGCATTTTAAATCACGTGAATTTGCAGTTGAATCATTAATAACACTCAATCTCTTTTATTTTTATTAGTAAAAAAATATATATACATAATTTTAAATTTGTCAAACAAAATTAACATAATAGAAAGCATTCTTAGGATGCACATAAAAAAAAATTATTAGCATGCATTTAATAATGCACACATGAATGTTCTTTATTTTTTTTTAAAAAAAAAGTCTTGGGGATCATCTATAAATTATGCAATGCTTAACTTTTTTTTAAAAAAGTAAGTAATCTTAAGCTCTTTTACACTCTTTTAAACATTAAACTTAATTTTCAACTAAATTTAATTGAAGATTGAGAGACAATAGAATATTTTCTTTTTATAAATTGTTTCTTAGTGATTATGGCTTCCAACTTTTTTCTCTGTGAATTGATCTATTGCTAAGATTGACAAAAAGAAACGGCATAAAACAGATATCGACTACAACAAAAATGATGATCTTTTAAAGTAGTATATTCACCTGAGAAAAAAAATACCAACAAAATTATTATACTGGATTACTAATTATCACAGTGGAAGATTCTAGTAAGAAATATAAACTATTTCAGTTGCCCGCAAGGCAACCAGGAAAAAACTGGAGAGTATACCCCTGATATATATATATATGTATATATATATATATATATATATATATATACATATATATATATATATATATATATATATATATATATATATATATATATATATATATATATATATATATATATATATATGTATATATATATATACATATATGTATATATATATATATATATATATATATATATATATATATATATATATATATATATATACATATATATATACAACCAGGAAAAAACTGGAGGGTAAACCCCTGATATATATATATATATATATATATATATATATATATATATATTTATTTATATACATATTTATATATAGGCCTTGGCTGCAGTAAATAAGTGTATGAGCGGTGAAGCATCTTTCTAAAATGAATTTACCAGGCGATGCACAATAAATATTTTTGTAGGCTTTTTGATATTTAAATAAAAAAAAGCTTATGGATAAAATAAAATCAACTTCAATTTAGTAATAGCTTTTTAAGATTTACATAGTAATGTTTTGTATCATCATAAATACATTTAAAAAGGCAAATGCCTGCAATGGTTGTTTATCTGATATTTATTTAAGCATTGTAACATTTTCTAGAAAATTTGTTAAAAAATTTTTAAACTCTATTTTAATATATATTTAGATTACTTTTTTAGGGAAAGTTTTTTTATTTTTTTTTTATTATAGCAAACTTATGTAATATTTATTAAAACAATATTTTATTTAAAATGTGCAAGATGTTTTTTACTATTTTTGTTTATGTAAATAAAATATGAATCTAAAATACCTAAAAAACATTAAATTTTGCTGTTTAAAAAAATAATTGTATATTTGCACGAGTTTTGTTTAGCTCGTGTGAACTAACACGGGTGTGTAGGCAGGCGCGGTTGATTGCATGTCATTCCTGCCGAGGCCTAACATTTATAAAAATTAAAATATATTATACATTAAATATGATTTAGTTGTTGCAATTATTAGATTTATTGAAATCACACAAAAAAAACTTTTATTCACTTATAAAAAAAAAAAAAAAGCAGTCATATAGCAAGGTCATTTATTTATACATTAAATATACTTTATAAATATAAGCATGCATATTTAATGGTCATTGTAATAATATTTATACATATTGTATGCTTGCTATAGACATTTTAAATTTAATTAAAAAGTTTTTAAACACTCTACACAGCCTATAAAAACGCATTGCAATGATTAACATTAACAAGCTGTAGAATAATATAACAAGTTATTTGAAAAGCTGTAAACAATCATAAATGTAAAGCATTACTATAAAGCAGAACTTTAACAATAAACATTTTTATAGATAGGCAATACAAAGATACAAAGATAAAAAATACCAACACATAAAGTAGTGAACAAATAAATTTTTGAGTGTTTGTTTTAATAAGTGGCTTGCTAAAGTTTTCATAGGATGTTAGATAAGTTTTTTCTTTCATTTAAACTTTTCTGTTAAACGCTGGAACAGCTTCATTACATGAATTAAAATTGCTCTAAAAATTTCTAGTTATCCCGTATCAATTAACTGTTTAAATCTTTGCAAAGAAAATCAAAATTTTGCATTTTTGTATAGCAAGTATGTGCCATACAAAATATATATGGCACATTCTTGTGAATTATACTAATTATGTATGACACATACTTGTGAGCTATACAAAATATATATGGCATATACAGTGAATTATTAAAAATGTATATGGCTTATACTTATGAATTTACTGAATTTTATGAAATTACAAATATATAATGCCATACAATTCAGTATGGCAATTTTGTGCCAAACTGAAATTCTTCAAATTTTTAGGGTATAAAAACCAGTTAATATGAAATATAGTAAATTGATAAATATGTATATTAATTAGCAGTATAGACCCATATTAAGTTCGCTATTGTGGTTTTAAAAATTGTTGGTTCTATATAATAAATTAAAGACTCAATTAAATTAATGTCAATTTTATACATTTTTACGCAAATAAAATTACTAAATTTTTATTAGTTATTTAAAAAAATTCTAAATATTTTAAAAATATCTACTTTATTATAAACTATTTCATTTTTTTGACAAAATATGATAAAATTAAATCTTTTTTCTAGCTGATTTCAATAAAAATAACTATTATTTAATGTCCAGTAAAACATAATTTAATTTTTTTTAAATACTAGGGACCATTAAATGTTCATAAGTATAAAAAATAATTCTTACCAGTTAATTTTTTTTACATAGCGTCAATTTATTATAGAGAACACATATAGGGGTTGCAAAATATCAACATTTTTTTTTTAATTTATCATATTTCGTAAGTTAACAACTGTTAAATTATATTATAAGACAAAGACAAAGAAATAAAATAGCTTACCAGCCCCAAACCATCATTTGACACTCCATTAACAGTGTTCATTGAAAATGTAGTTATTAGTAGTAACTAGTAACATAAACAAGAATGAATATATATAAATATATATATGTGTGTGCATGTGTGTCAGTGTGTATGCGCATGTGCATGTATACATACACACACATACACACACACACACACACACACACACACACACACACACATACACACACATACACACACAAACATAAGTTATGTATGTATGTATGTATGTATGTATGTATGTATGTATGTATGTATGTATGTATGTATGTATTTATATATGTATGTATGTATGTATATGTGTATGTATGTATGTATGTATGTATGTATGTATGTATGTATGTATGTATGTATGTATGTATGTATGTATGTATGTATATATATATGTATGTATGTATGTATATGTGTATGTATGTATGTATGTATGTATGTATGTATGTATGTATGTATGTATGTATGTATGTATGTATGTATGTATGTATGTATGTATGTATGAATGTATGTATGTATGTATGTATGTATGTATGTATGTATGTATGTATGTATGTATGTATGTATGTATGTATGTATGTATGTATTTATGTATGTATGTATGTATGTATGTATGTATGTATGTATGTATGTATGTATGTATGTATGCGCATGCACAAATGTACACATATATAAAAATATAGGCCCACATATAAACTGCATATATTAACTTATTTTTTTATTATATGAATGCAGAGAATACATATACTTTATAAATATAAGCATGCACATTTAATGGGAATAGTAACAATATTTATACATATTGTATGTTTGCTATAAACAGTATTTTATATTTAGCTAAAAAGATTTTAAATAATAAATATTGAGTATAAAAACAAATATAGTGAAAAATTGCTCATTTGAATATTCTCATTTTAAATTAATATATAAACCAAACTTTTCTATTGAAATTTAGAACAGCTAATGGACTTATAAACTTGAATATGAATTATTAAGCAAAAACTTCACTATATTGCATTTTATAAAGCTATAACCTGTAAATTTTAAAAACTGGTTTAACTGTATAATGGTAACAATAAATTTCGTAACAGTATCAATGTATAGTAAAACAAGGTCTGACATCATACAGGCAGTAGTTAATAAGCTATAAATTTGCACACAAAAAAACTCGGTATTTTGAAAATTATATCTTATCAGGTAGCTGCGATCCGTTTAACATTCGTCAAACTTTTTTCTTATTTATTTATTATGTCTGATTGTTCAATATTCAAGCAGAGATTTGCTGTAGTTAACAAGCAAAAAATACATTTTAAAATTGAGCTATTTACGAACTATTATATTGTATTAAAGATATAGATATATTATTTATACTCAAGATAAACATAAGTAAATTTTTTGCTTTAATGTTATTGATAACTTGTTATATTTATGATATACTTTACGATTCAAAAATGCCGCTAATTAAAAAACAAATTAAAAAAACTAAATATATGCATTTTAAATCAGACTTGACTCTTTTTAAAAAAGGAAAATAATCATAAATGCATTATTTTTAATAATTTCCACTACCACCAGTTAAAAATTATTATTAAATAAACATGAAAGTTATATTCGGCCGAAAGTGCGCCGTGATTAAACTTCCATCTTGGATATCTGCCATTTTGAAACGATCTATTTTGAATTACGGCTTTTTTTCCACAACTTGAAGAGAAACTACATCGTCAAATGCGTGTTTTAGCGAATATTGGTACTATAAACTTTTATAAATTTTGAGATGATTATAACAATTTAAATAAAATGAAAAAAAACTTCTGGAATAAGAACAACGTGTAAACAATATTTTGTGAGATTAAACATTTGCCGTTGGTTTTATGATTAAATTTTTACTTCATTATATATTAAATATTATGAATATATTTTTTAGTGCATGTAATACTTTGAATTAATTAACACATGTTAACTGAACTTTTTAGCTACAGTCGTAAATTACGCATTAGTTAAATTATCACATTGCAAACGTATACACGTTTTTATTTTCAGAATGCTAGAAGGATAATTTCGACATTTTCATTTAAATATAGGGATGTGCGTGGTACGCACATCCCTTGCTACTAATGTTCAAGAAACAAGATCTTATACCACTATTTAGACTATAAAACAAATAAATGATATCGTATCAGATATACTCTGTGACAAGATCGTTAGATCTTCTTTGAGCACATCAATAACATTGAAAAAAAAAGATATTGTTCTATAGTAGGGTTGCCATTCTCATCATTTTTAAGTAAAATTACGCAATGAAAATTTTAATAAGTTTAGCATCGCGCTCTTCTACGGAAAAAAAGAAAAAAATGGCAACTCTATTCTACAGTAACCTTCAGACTCCTAATTTCTTTTGTCAAATCTAAAAAATTTAACAAATCTAGCCTTGGAAACCCCATAACGGGATACTACTAACATATTTAAAACTAAAATTTACAAATAAACGACTTTGCTAATAACAACAAAATTCATTGAAACTTTAAAGTTGTTTATAAGGGAATAACGTTAATGCTTATAATTATTTAGTTTTTATAAACTAAAAATGGATTGGAGAGTAGTAGTATAGAGTACTTTTTATAAAAAGATTTTTTAAAGATAACTTGAATAAAAAAATTAACTAAAAACTCCATTGAAACTTTTTCTTTTGAAACTGTTAGCGATGAACACCTAAGATGAATTCATGCATGATTTTTTACTCAAGTTTGATTTTATGATTAATTACGCTTCGATGATTTCAATATAATTACTAAATTGTTTTGCATTATCAAATATTGTGTGAAGTGTTGCTGCGGAAATGAGGACAACTTTTTTCCTAAATAGTATTATAATAATTAGACAATTTTAATTTTTTTGTAATTGAGTATTTGAATTAGCACTAGAAAGAGAACATATAGTTTGAAAAAAAAAAACTTTTTTTTTCAACAAATTATGCTTTAATGAAAAATAGTAAAAGTAAAATGATATTGTATTTTATAAAATAAAATAAAATGATATTGTATAAAATAAAATGATATTGTATTTTAGCCCAACAACGCCTCTCAATTTTACGCTTTTCAATTAGATTAAGATATTTTTTGCTCCGATCATGAACAAAAAGCTGTGACAATCCAATAGTATATAGTAAGCCCATTTATTGTTAGAAAACGTTTTAATTCAAAAAACAACATACATGAGCAAAAAAGAAAAAAGAAGTCACAGTGTAAGACATGTTTTAATACTTTGTATGGGCCCCTCGAACTTCTAGAAAAGCTTCTGTTCTTTGCGACATTAAAGCAACAAGAAGTACAGAATATATTCGGACGTTATTTTTTGACACCGCGCTTTCGTATATATTTTCTCAGACCTGCAGGTAAGGTTGGGTTCTGCTTAGAAAGTTCTAAGATTTAGCACATCAGGTTTCTACGGGGTTTTAATCGAGTAAATCCCGACGGGCATTTGTTTTTAAAAGTTACGTTCTAAATGTATTTTAAATGTTTTTTAAACGTCTTCTAAACATTCTTACTCAAAAAACGTTTAAAAGACATTTAAAATACATTTAGAACGTAACTTTTAAAAACAAATGCCCGTCGGGAAGTGTCTCGCCACGGGGAAAAAACATGAACTGCATTTTCTCGGAGCCAATTTATTTTGACAATTTATACATAATTGCACGTTTACCGGTGTGCATGTAAATACCAAACTTTCTAATTCAAAACCAGTTATACGCATTGTTCTTCAAAATTTTCAAATAATTCGCGGTATTGAGATTATCACCTTGTTGTAAAAAATGTAAACCAGCTCCATCGTTGGCATCGATGGATATTTAACAGAAGGTGTAACAAATTAAGAATCGATGCCTTCTATCGACATGATGCGTTGAATGATATCATGAACCTACCTTAAGATACCTTAGGTATCTTTAAACGTGAAGATACCTTAGGTATCTTTAAACGTATAGCAATCATTCGTTCAGACTTGCTGTTTTCCATTAAAAGTTGAGGCGGAAAGTTTTGGCAAGTGAACTCTATATGGTTTTAATGTATACAGAGCATCTTTAATATAAATGTCACTGATTCCCTGATTCCGTAACGCTGTAATTTATTACTCCTTATCGATTAGTTATAATAATAAAGATAAATTATTTTCACGCACTCAGTAATTAATCAATTAGGGTAGAGCGGGGCATATAAGAACACTAAAGAAATAAATGTTTATATAGCATTTGTTTATATAGTGTCCTTATATGCCCAGGAGAAAAACTAAACATAGTTAACACTATTTTTTATAAATTTCCTAAAATTCATTAATATATCTATTTAACATATCTTTATAATATTTTTTAGCTGTATAAATATTTTTTAGCTGAGATATAAGACTTCAGGCATAACTGTCCCGTTATGTCCGACAGTCCCGATATGCCCCGCTCTACCCTAGTTTAGACTTCATCATCGGGTGAAATATTTTAATATTAATTAAAAATTGATTTTTAAAAAAACAAAAATTTCTCATTACAAAAGAAGTAAATAATTATTTATTTAATTACAAATATATAATAAATTATATACTTGTATGATTTCGAATGAATATAGTTAATCTTAATATATCTAACAAGAAAAAATTAAAGTTAAAACGTTAATGTGTGTTTTGTAAATTTACATTATATATATATATATATATATATATATATATATATATATATATATATATATATATATATATATATATATATATATATATATATATATATATATATATATATATATATATATATATATATATATATATATATATATATATATATATATATATATATATATATATATATATATATATATATATATATACAATTCAGTCGAGTGACTTTTAGTTTTGAGGACCCATGCAACAGCAACTGTAATGGACAATATTTTAATTCATAAGTTCCGAGAAACAACATCCGAAATTAAAATATTCATGACAGATGTTATTGACCACTTAGCAATATTCATAAAAGTAAAATATTTCAAAATTACGTCTGATAGTCAATCAAATGATATTATTTTGAAAAA